CCATTTTGTTCTTAAGCCTTTCAGAGGTGCGATACTCTGCTTTTCCTCCAAGAGTGCTCCAGAAGTCATCTATGTAGAAATTTGAAAAACATTTGTTTTAGAAGGGTTCTTTTATATTTTAAATACAATGTCAAATAAATGCATTTAAACACTCCTCTACCAGTGTCTGTACACCTACCTCCCTCTGCTCCTTCAGATATCTCTGAAAGGTCCACTCCTAAAATGCTGCCAAGCTTTTTGGCTCCATTCTTTTCTGCATCACTTATACCCTGACCCAGCCACACCATAGAGCCTGAAGGAGTCACCAAAACAAAGGCATCGTTGGAGTTGAGGCTAGAGGCCACAGCGTCAACCTGTTTCGGGGAAAGTGAACAATTTTCGTCCAAGGAGAACCAATTTTGCATACATTTTAAAATGAAGAACAATAAACAACACTGAATCATAAAACGGTACAGCTAAAACACGTTTACTCTTGACTCACCTCAACAGCTCGTGTGTGCCCAGCAGTGTTGGCACGCACTTGGAAAAGGCGGACTAGAGGAGCTTGTGATTGGCCACCCTCTCGTGAAGTTCCACCCTTGTGCACCACCATTGGTTGCCCACCAAAGATACTCATTAGGTGAAGGGGTTCTTTGCCTTGAATTACTCGTACCTTAATAAACATGCACATTCAAGCTGGTTTTACTGATTCGTTTTGATGGTCTATGTCAAACAATTCTGCTCCAGTCCTAATTAAGTATGCCAACCTGCAAATCAAGGTCAGGATTGCTAGAAACCTTCAGGCAAGTGTGTTAGGGCAGTTTGGAGCTAAACACTGCAGGAGATTAGCCCTCAAGAAGCATGTTTGGACAACTCTTGTCTATAATTTATTAGACTACATGTAGAAGGTGAATAATGTAATCATTCATTGCACAAAGCAAGTGTCACCTGCACAGCACTTCCACCAAGCTCTGCATCTAGCTGGACAGCAAGAATGGCAGAAGTTCCTCTTTCATCTTGACTGGACTCTTCCCCCTGCCTGTGGACATAAACGAAATGTGATGAACCTCTGCAGTGATGACTCATCCTATTGACGAACAGAGGCCCAGCCTGGTGGGGCTAAGAAATAATTGAAAGACCATTGTGTTCTGTTACCCGAGTGTTCTTGTGTAACATGAGCAGACAAAGCCCTTGGCTTAAGACCAATTCCTTAGGCATTCAGTGTTTATTTTTCAGGTTCAGGATTCATAAAGGACTGAATGAAATCCAGAAGTAGGTCTGTAGCTCTTACCATATATATATAATCTGCCCCTGACGTCCCCCATGCCTGTAGGTGTACAGGATGATGTAACTATCTCCTCCAAAGAACTGCCCATGAATGGATGAGTCAACTGGAACCTTGTTTGATCCCTCAATGCGCCAGATCTTTCCAAAGCAATGAAACAAGACAAATTGTCCATTCATTTGTCTACTTAATCACTTGATCGTTGCAATCTGTTACATAACAGCAGAAGACGTTTACCTTTAACTCCCCCTTCCCGTCATCTACCATTCCATGTTGAGCAGCCATTGCCTCTGAGTTGTGCAAAGATGATGCATCAAAGGGCACTTTCTTGATCTTGGCAATTCTGTTGGGCACATAGGCTTGTCCCATACCTTTTGTCTGCTCTGTATCATGCCACAACTTAAAGAATTGTTTGAAAAGAGGAGTCTCTCCATTCTCAGGGATGATCTGGAGCTCAGTGTGTTTAGGATAGCCCATCTGACTTATGAAGTCCTCAGCAGCTTTCATACCTGAACTTCGTTCTTCTTTATTAGCCTCTTTACCTGTTTTATTAAAGAAATAAAGGTTAAAATGTACGTTTAGGCATGCCACAAGATGCAAATTTTGAATACATTTGAATTATCTGCTAAGCGGACCTTTCCAAACAAATATCTTGCCATTGGAACCGTGGTCCAAGATAAAGCAGTCAGTGGACTGCAGTTCACTCTGGGAAAAAGGGTTCTGTTCAGCCACCAAAGTGACAGACATAGTCCCACTGGCATTTGACACCTGAGCAATAATGAACACAAGAATTACCCATTTTTGTGGATTTAAGATAATTCCTCAGGGAAAACCTGAAGTATAGCTTATTGTACCTTGTACAATTTGGCCGACTTCCTGTTGGACGCGTCAGTCTTTGTGTCTTCAGACTGCGCATCAGGAAGTTCAGGCTTTGGTCCAAGAATCTGATAAAATATAATACAGCACTCTCATTTAGAACAAAATACTGAATACTTAGTAAAGGCTGCAATAAACTACATGACTCTGAATCTGATGCATGTCTAGTGTTTTAAGAGCTGGTTAGATTTTATAAGTTGTGTAGTGTATTCCAGCCTTAAGGCACAAACCTATATCAAAAATGAGTGAAGAAAAAAATACTCCTATTATACTAACCGCTAGTATCTTCTCATTCTCCGATCCTTCTTCACATACAAAAAGTTTTGCTCTCCCACAACGCTCATTATCACGAATATCTTTGGAAACATTGGTGGCTTTCAGTCTTTCAAACTGGTTACACTTGGTCCCACACCACTGGTATATCTCCTGATGCAAGTATAAGCATAGTAATAGCATAAATACAAGGAATACATTATAATAAAATGCAAAATAGAAAAGAAGCAGAACATTAATTCATATCATCTTTCACCTCTCCAAGATCAAGGATGAAACAATCACCCTGGTTGAAGCTGGCCCAACTCACTGGTACTTCAATGGCCCGGATTACACGTCTGCCACTCACATGGAGAACTCGCTTCACATTCACTGCATCAGATGCTATGTGTTTGAATCCAGATGCAACTCCACCTTGCTGAAGAAATAAAAAACAGTTTGATGAGTACAATGGCATCTGTGGTTTTGTGATGAACTTAGGATTCAAAAACATTTTGTGCATTAAAGCATTGTAAATTGAATAACTCTACCTACCATGTACTTAAGGCCTGATTTGAAGTAGCCTACAAAGGTCTTTGACTCATATCCCTGGACCTCTCTGTACTGGATGGGTTTTCCTCCAAGGAAATCATCCATTTGGATGGTGAAGATAGCAGCGGCTCCACTCTCATCCATTGTGCATGCATCACCTGGAGATACCATTTAACAATATTCATAAACAAGTTTCAATAAAAGTGGTCACAGTGGACAATTTAGATTTACATTAACCACAGTATTACCTATCCAGAAGTGAAGGTCATATTGTAGACTCCCAGACTTTTGTTTTATGGTATTAAGAATGAGGTAGGTATCACCTGTGTAGAAGCCACCATGAAGACTATGAGGAACAGGCACCAAATCCATGTTTTCAATCCTCCATACCTGCAGGCCTGTCTGCTTTCCTGCTTTCTCAAATTCAGGGTGGTACACCATGGTGCTGTTAGAAAAACAACAACTATTATAAATATTATATACAATAGCCATATTTTGCATACTTGTGTTCCACATGGTCTAATGTTAATTAATTAAAAAGAGGAAGGGTGGTGTACTTTGTTTCCCATAAAATACATTATTTTAGCTTCCATCAAAGAGAACAAAGGCAGTTCCTGACTATTTGTCAAGATTTTTTTTCTACATCTCAAAACAGTCAAACTGCTCTCCCGGTAATGCCCCAGGGCAGGCAGAGATTTCCACCCCCACTGGAAAAAAAGAAGAAACAGAAAGGGCGGGGCTTGTCTCACACTTACACATTTACACTTAACACAATAGTACAAGGAAAAAGTTATCCTGCTGATGTTATTCATATAAAATGATTTTATTGTTTAATACAGTGATATTATAATTGCAATGAAATTATGATATTATAAAATGTTTGTTTATAGAGATGCTGATGCATTTATAATACCACTGGGCTATAGCAGATCAGATTGTAGAATCTCGCATTAATAAATGGACAAAATAATAATAATAAAGCAAATTATATATATATATATATATATATATATATATATATATATATATAAATGATGGCATTACTTTTTTTACGCATACACCCAAGATACCTACCCTGAATCAATTACAGCTGCTTACAGAGATGCTTGAGAAAAGTAAATAATTGATAGCAACATCAGATGCACAGAAAAGTGACTGTATCAGGAAACTATTAGGAATTACTTCTTCTCAATTAACAAAACGTCATCGATTAGCATACATTCACTTCGTAACTTATAAATAAATATATTATGCCTACCTGTTTGATAAATCTTTCTTTTAAGGTATTATCAGCAAGAGTCTGGGCGACAGCTGTATATTTGAGAAGTGAGCTAAGCTTCCGCACGTACAGGGAGTAACACCTTTCTTTTACCGTCTATGAGTAACACAGGTGTGTTGCATTTGCATATGAAACCCCTCCTTGTATTAGAAACAGCACTTCCGTCTTCAGAATCAGGTTTCTTTCAGGGCAAAAAAAAAGTGTAGTGTAGAGTTTGCGGTTTACACCGGTATAATTTAGGTTTAAACGCACATTATATGTTTGCAATGATTTAATTGTTAGTGCGTTTCCGGTTTCATCACATTCGCATCAGTCATAATAAAATACCATTAACGTTACCCAGGTGCCATCCATATGACCATGAGTTTTTCTTAATCTGACTGACATGATTCATGCACGAGGCAAATCACATTCATGATAATATACAAAAATAATAAAACCATTTCCCAGGCCAACACAAACTGCAATTAAAACTTAAAAACATTAATATTTTATTTACATTTAAAACACGCGTGGCGACTTGCCTTGACCAGACATTTATGGAAAAATACACCTTTTGGCTTTTTGACAAGCGTCTTCCCTTTTCTCTGATTCAGTGTCATTTAAGTAAAATCTGATGAGTAAATACCAGTTGATCTCGGTTTTTTTTCTTTGGGGCTACTGACGATTCTTTTCCGCATCCCTCATCCATTTTTGAGGATGTAGAGCAAGGTGTGTGTGTGTATCTCCAGTAGCCTACTACAGTAGAGGTGTTGCTCCAGTAGAAGTCGCTGCTCTCACTGTTTTCATCGCAGCAGCACTTTTAGAGGAAGAAAGCGACCGGACGGCTCACACTCGCCGATAACCAACCCAAACCTCCAAAAACCACTTGAATTTATATTTTAGGTAAATGATACACACATCTCAAGATAATTGTCACCATATTGCTTTTCAGAATTGCTTGATACAAACGACTGACACTGTTTTTAACGCTTTACGTGGCTCGTTTTTGGGAGTAAGTTAGCTGTTAGCTTTAGCATCTCTGGGTTTGGTTCAGCGCGAGGTCAGCTAACGCTAACTAGCCCTTAATGCTCAACATTAATACATTTATCATTTAAAATACGACACGGAAACGCAAGGGTCGCTGACATGCGGGTTAAAACATTACTTTGAAGTGATTTATATTAGGTGTGGTCTAGCTTATAGATGTGAAACCTTTGACAGGAGTGTGTGATTAGCTGATTAGTCAGTCATGGCGCTGGCTGATTGTAGTGCTGCAGCAGTGTTTATACTGCTTTAGCTCAGTGTCACGTTACTCTTTACCTATATACATTTCAATTTACATAACTATCGTGTTTGCTTGTCACCTATAGATCATTATTATCCCGAATTTGCTTTGTCCTGATCTCTCACTACCGAGGTTTGGTGATCTTATGTTAGAAAAGGGAAATGTGCCTTTTAGACAATAGTAGGACACCCGGTCAGCTGAGCGCTGCTTGATTAGCCGTCTGTGTGGTTTCATTTTGTTGTTGTGAATGCTGTATCTTTTATTTATTTCGACTGTTTTTGAGTTGGTGTCATTTTAAGCGTTGTATAATTTTTCTTTTTGCTTTCCAGTGCAAAAATGACGACTGCACCATATAACTATTCCTATATTTTCAAATATATCATTATTGGTAAGTGAGCAGTTTGATCTATCTATCTATCTATCTATCTATCTATCTATCTATCTATCTATCTATCTATCTATCTATCTATCTATCTATCTATCTATCTTATCGATGTTCCATAATATTTAATTATTTTTGGATGTTGGGTTTGGCTCATGTGTGGGATTATTTGTTGTTTATAGGTGACATGGGGGTTGGAAAGTCATGTTTACTCCACCAGTTCACAGAAAAGAAATGTAAGTGCAAAAGGTGGTATGAATTACATTAAAACAAGGAATCCTTAAAGGACAAGTTCGGTATTTTACACTTAAAGCCCTGTTTTAAGATTGTTTCTGTTGAAATAGAACGGTTAAGATTGAAATTTGGACACATGCTGCTGGCCCGGGAATTTTTGATTTCTGTGGTTGCACCAAACCCCCACCACCACAATAGTTGCATTGGTGCACTGGAACAATCCTTCATAAAAAAGCATTAAACTTTAGTTTACAAATACATGAAACTCACAGAGTGGTCTGAGGTGTTCACTAAAATGCTCACACCAACAGGTTTTATCATAGTTTTTGTCCAACTCCATTGACTTGACTTGGACAAAAACTATGATGCATTTAGATTTATTCATTTTAGCTGACGCTTTTATCCAAAGCGACTTACAATTGCTATATGTCAGAGGTTGCATGCCTCTGGAGCAACTAGGGGTTAAGTGTCTTGTTCAGGGACAGATTGGTGTCTCACAGTGGATTTAAATTCTTCATAAAAGTGTGACATTGACAACTACTGGTCTGTCATGCATAATTACATTTTTAGTTGTTTATCCAGATCCGTGTGTATGGTGATCATTTTGATAATGTTCTCGTCTGTATGCAAAGGAAAAACATCTCAGATTTTAGTACATTGCTGTCATGTAAACATGGTCTTTAATATCTTCACTTGCAAGAATAATAAAAAATAAAACTTAAATTTTTTATTTTGTCTGAGAACTGTTGGGAAGACCTTAAAGTTTTGTGACAACAGGTTACAAATCTAGTTGAAACGCTACAATCATCTGTCCACAAAAATGGGAGATTACACTGTGAAAAAGCATAACTGCCATATGTTGCACACCCAAATCCGTGTTAAATTCAAAGCCACATGCAAAGATGGAGTTTGCAGCATTTACTGTGAACCGAGCTGCTCTGAGATTCTGAAAACTCCAGATCTTGAGCAATTTGTATGTAAGAACACAGTGCCACGCTCTGAAACACGCAGTGCAACAGAGAGATGTATAGGCTAGATATTGCAAAAAAAGTTTTGAAAGAGAATTTTAGTATCTGTTTATCAAAAAAATATATTTTTGACTACATATATGTTATCCTTATGTTTTATGCTGATTTTGTCCTTATATTAAACGTACAGTATGCGATTTTTGGCCACCAGGGGTCACTCGTTTAAAATAATAACAAAAGACGTACTTTGATGACGTCGGGAAAGAGCGTGGGCTCACGGGAGTTGTTGTCGCTGTCAATGACAACCAGCTCAGCTCATGACATGACATCATCGTTTCACAAAATATACGGATATACGGCATCTCTCTGTAGATTTAGCTTGTCAAGAAGCTTTAAATGCAACGCCAATGTTTACCTGTGTCATGTTTCTCCTGTCCCAAACCCTTCTCGGGTTATATTTTTCACCCGTACGTTTGAGCTTTAGCTAATGGAGCTGGCTGTAGCAGCAGAACGTGCAGGCAAAGCGTAATCGTGGTCCATAACAACAATACAGACGAATATAAATATTTATATTACGCTCCTTCAATGAATGACCTATTTTAGAACATTTTTCATATATAGAGCGCACCGGATTATAAAGCTCATAAGATACTGCAGTCAAACGTTTGACTGGGTTTGCGTTATGCATCCACTATGTGCTAAAGGCTAAAGAGAATGTAGTGAGTGCGCGGCGCCGGAGGTGAGGCGTTTATTTAGTAAGCATGAGAGAGCTGAAGCGGGCACGTACATTCGCAGCCTGACTCATAATGAGTATTCAATGTGCGCGGCTCGCTAACAGCAACAGTTGGCTGTTTTGAATGAGACGACACGGTTACTGTGAACGGGGAGCGCTTTATGCGTGAGCAGCACCGGGGACAGTGTGTCCGTTAAGAGTGAGCGCTCGTGAGCGGGCACGTGATTTACACATAAAAATACGTACTACTTTTTTTTCTTCGTCATTTTCTTTACTTTATTGGCGGTAGTCCAGTGTTCCCCTTTGTGTTTGGCGGTTTCGCCGGGTTCCGCAAGGAAGTTAGAGAAAATAGAGGAGTCAAAGGTTATATGACGCCATACACGGGCGACGAAACGGAAATAAAGAAACGTCCCGTGTCTTTGAATTAAACTATACGTTTCTCCGTATTTGAAAGTTAGTGGAAACTGTCGGGATAATGTAAGTACACATCTAATAGAAATATATAACATAGATACAGTTATTTTTGCTATTTTTAAAGCAGAAAAATTACATATTGTGGCTTTAAAGCTACACTGTGATTTTTACCCCCATCTAGCGGTGAAAAGTTGTATGACCATCCAGTGAATATTAGTTTCTGTTCCTCTCATTTCCGATTTCGTTTAACTCCTACGGTGGCCAATGTAGTCCAAGATTAACATGGCTTCCAGTTCGACCTCGTCCATGAATGTTAACTCAAACGTAAACGCGAAAGGCGAAGCTTGAATTAACGGGTATGTCCCTCTTTGGCTAATGTACTTTCTTTTTTAAATATACATTAATGAGCACATATATTTTTGAAAGAACTAAGTGTTTTTAGCTAAGAATAAACTAAAAGAGTTACACAGTGTAGCTTTAAACAAGATGGCTTCAAAAAAAGTTCTACATTACTTGAATAACTTCTACTTTATATTTTTAGTTATGGCTGACTGTCCTCATACAATTGGTGTTGAGTTTGGCACACGGATAATTGAAGTGAGCGGGCAGAAGGTGAAGCTTCAGATTTGGGACACGGCAGGGCAGGAGAGATTCCGTGCTGTCACACGCAGCTACTACAGAGGAGCCGCCGGGGCCCTCATGGTGTATGACATCACCAGGTAGACCAATGTTCCTACTCTGATCTCATTGAGGTTACATGTTCAATGCTATCTTTTGAACTGCGCTTTTTATTATTTTTTTTATAAGCATCAACTTTTTGTTTTAGCATCAAGGAAGATATGTGATTCTTGTTGGGTTTTTTTTATAGGCGAAGCACGTACAACCACCTCAGCAGCTGGCTGACTGATGCCAGGAATCTCACCAACCCCAATACTGTAAGTTCTTTCTGTTATAACTAAAACTTAAAGGTTCTCTGAGCGATCCTGGGTGTTGTTGACATTCGGAATATTTTCAAACAAATCGGAGGCTAGCTAGACCCTCCCTCCTCCGCATCTCATCTCCTCCCCTCCCTTCCGTGCTTCCTGAAATAATTGTGAACGTGCATAGTTCTAGCTAATTATATCCTTGTGTGGGTTTGGCGAACATAAAGAGTCAATTTAGAAGAAAAAAAAAACAATTTAACGTTACCCACCTGTCCAGCAAAAACAGAGCAACCTGAATGTCCGACTGGAAGCCCTTCTGCTGCCGGAGTTCTTGCCATCGTTCAAAAGCTTTGCTACCGATGTAAATTCGGAACTTCGCACGTTCTTTATCCGACTCCTTCTTCTTTTTAATTTGTTCTTCAGAACGACGTCTATTTGGTTGTGTGTCGGCCATTTTTCAAACTTCCCTCTGATGCTTCTATCTCCTTCACACACACACCCCCTTCATGTGCACGCGCACTAACCCCCCAGACCCACCCTCAAATACTTCTTGCCAGTGATTGGCTGGAACACTGTTTGTTAGGTTTCGTGGTCCGGGTGAGACATGATTGTTTTTGTTGCCGTTTGTGGAGCCTGTGGTGTCTACAGAGACCGCGTTTTTTTACAGTGTGTTTAGGGGACAGGCAGCTAGCCGATAGTGAGGAGACGTTTGATGTATGTGACAAAAAATGTTTTGGCCCCACATTGCTTAGAGATCCTTTAAGCCCAAACTTTGTACACATGATGCTTTTCAATTTTGTTAAAACGGTGTTGGGGCTTCATACATATTTTAACTACAGATGTGGTTTGCATGAAGAGCAAACTTAAGCCTTTGTAATGCTGCGTGCACACCAAACGCAAATAGAGTGTATGGCGTGAGTGATTTCCATGTCAAGTCAATGTAAAGACGCGTTTAGCACGGACCTCATTCGCACATCCAATTCGCGCAAATTGAGTGTTTGGTGCATTACGTACGTCATTGCGCGAGTGATTTTATTTGGTGCTTTTTGTGCATTCACACGTTTGACGTGAATTTGCGTCTGACGCCGAGTTGAAAAATCGGAAACTTTGGTCAATTCGCGCCGCGTTAACCAATCGAGCCTGCTTGCTGCTGTCACGTGGTGAAGTGACGTGATAATTAAGTTAAAAGGACAGTCAGTCAACTACACTGTAACAACGTAACGTAATTATTACTAGCTAATTCCGCTTCACTTTCAGCTTATTTAACAGCAGCAAAACTGGACATGATAGTCAGAAATATTGTCATGCTTATTTGAGTTAAGAGAACTGATGGGGATGTTCTTTTAATTGTTATTCAAGCAATGTATGTTAGGGCTGAACGATTAATTGCATTTGCGATAATATCGCAATATGATGAAACGCGATTTTGTAATCGCAAAGGCTGCGATTACACTGGTCACGTGACACCCGAGAGAACAGTCTGCAAGATCAAGCATCAACTTTGCATGCTACGCATATAGGTCTGGCATACAGAAAAGAACAGTTTATTTTTAATAATAATAATGTGTTATTTATTCTCTCCCCAACAGTTCTGGATCGAGTCTGAGCTTAGTTTTTAACCCATTAAAAGCGGATCACACATCGGTGTGTGTTTACCTTTAAGACCGGATCGCACATCTGTGCATAGTCACCTTTAAGCCCGGCAAATGCATTTGCATCATTTTGAGCAGTGTCGGCTTTTTATTCCATGTTTTTATCTGCTATAGAGGAATGAGAATTTAAGATTTTAGTAGGCTTTGACATATTTTGAAAAATATTTCTGGAAACCCTAAGTTTTTGGGAGAGGGTTTTCAGAAAAGTATTTAGGCATAAAAAGGCCTTTTTAGCAGAAGTTTTAGGCCTAAATGGGTTAAACACAGATGCGTGATGACGCTGCGCGTGCTTTAGAAACAACCATGTTCTGCTTGCTTCTCTCTCGCTCCCTTTCTCTCTCACTCACTCGCTCACATACACACACACGACACCGCTCGAACCTTCCGAAACATAGTATTTCATAATTGTTTGGGGTTTAACTGAAGTACAAGGACATTCACGGGCTTCATTGCACAGGTTTTGCTGCTTTGCTTGATGTTATAATGTTACTCTTGCAGTGCGCATTCTCTCCCCCGGAAATTTTCCTTACAAATGTTTCACAAAGGCATTATATATGTCTTTTGGAATGCAGTTGGCTTATATATTAAAAATATGAAAATCACTGATGCTGCTTTAATTTTAAAACACTAACGTGCGCTTTGTGAAGAGCGCTCGTGCATGCATCCGTGAGCGACTCATTGGTTAAATGTACTTGTACGTCAGAATGCTTTAAAGACACGAAATTAATGTAAAGACAGTCAGTTATAGGGATGCGCGGTATACCGGTATTACAAAAATACCGGTATATAATAAATTTCAAACGGTACAATATCATAATTTTGTTAAATTCGGTATTTAATGCGCTGCTGTTCCGAAGTTCTCCACTAGGCGGCAGTGCGCTACCGAAACTGACGCGGGTCACGCGAAACCGGCAAACGAAGGAACACGACGGATCAAACGAAGCTCATTCGAATTTCTACACGCCCGAAATTAATAAATAAAGAGAAGTATCAGTGAAATAAAGCATTACTTTGCCTGCTAAAGTAATGAGAATAGTAAAGTAACAGACCTCAATGAATGCACCACTCTGCAAACGTTGCTTTCAATAAAGTGTTTCCATGGGAGGCAACACAGTAAATCTGCCGAAGCGTTCGTCAGTTGCTCATCCTGACTAGTTCAAAGAGTTCAGAGATCGACTGGTGAGTTCATCATTCAACTGATTTAATTTAGTCTTTTATTGAACACTGAACAGCGCACATACATTAGAGCTTATCAATTAAATATGGTAAACACGAGAGATCAAATCTTATTCTTGCATGACACGGTAGAACCAATTCAGTTTAGGTCTCATCATTTTTGCAATTTCAAACAAACATATTCATTTAATTTGAATTAATAAAGAATAAATGTAATAGCAAAAACTAATGGCATTATTGCTGCTGTTGCGACCCATAGAAAGAGAGAGAGAGAGAGAGAGAGAGATGGTAGTAATATAAATATTAATAATATTAGCCTACAATTAAGCTACATTTGTCAAAATTCATTAAGAAACCTGGCCTAACAATATAGCATTGATTAATCTAGATCAATCAGTAATAAAATTACCTAAAAATGTAATACATGTTTAGCATAACATTGCAATGCATTATATGCATAATCTATACCCAAACACAAACAGTAAGCAAACCAAGATGAATAAACACTATACATGTTGATAATTCTCTGTTGATGCATGACGGCTAATGGTTTACATGCCATTTCATTATTCTATTATTATATGTTAATCTATTATTATTATAGATATTAACCTATTTTAATTGTATAATTTCAGGGTTTTTTTTCTTTTCCAAAATCAAAATTTTACCTACTGTATGTTCCTTGACTGAATTTATTTATTTTGAAAATTTTGATCTGTTTTTGTTTTTTGATACTTTCTTTGCACATATGGTAGTTGAGAGTTTCAAGCAGTGTTTAATATAGTTGTTTCAATTCACTTAAATTAAGACTCTTTTTTTTTTTCCCCCGACTGTGGTATCGATTTAGTATCGATACCGAGGTATTAGGTTCTGGTATCGTACCGAAGTCAAAATTGTGGTATCGAGCCATCCCTAGTCAGTTATATCTTAAACCAACAGGACAAACCACATTTACAATTTCAAGCTTATCATATCTACTGAGGGGGAAATCATTCCACCTCTTGAATGATAAATATTCAGACAGCCTACTTTTAAATACTGAAACCACTCTTTGTTTATTGCTTTTTGTAATGCTTTTTTTGTTTCTCTTTATTTACTAGCTTTTATATTTTGAAGCTATGTTAGTTTATATAGCCTATTTAAAATTCTTAACATGTAATTGGTTTAATTAAATGCTTTTTATATATATATATTTTTATAAATGTGTTTTACACATTAAATACGTATTTTAAGTGTTATTAAGATTGATTAATAAGAAAAAAGTAGATCGGATCATGAGCTGCTTAAGATTCCCATCCCTACTGTACAATGATTTATTGCTTGTCTTTGTTGACTAATACAGAAGGTAAAGAACTTTAAAAATCGCATATTAAATCGCAATCGCAATATTGGTTAAAAAATTCGCAATTCGATTATTTTCCATAATAGTTCAGCCCTAATGTATGTCTTGTGACCAACTCACCATGAACACACTTCACCGATGATCTCAATCGCGGATAACTGGTTCTTTCTGCCCGACTTTGGCTAGATCAGCAGGTTGCTGGATGTTTGGTGCGTTATAGACCTTATGTAGCCCCGCCCCTTTTCAGTGCTGCGCTCGTTGTCTTTTCACTTCTGGTCTGTATTTTGACAGCGATCTTGCATAGGTATGAATGAACTTCTCGTAAAAAATTCCCGTCGACATTTGTTAAGACATCTGCTTTACAATGCTTATGATAAACATTACAATGCTCATGATAACTTTTGTTAACTCTAAATCCACTTCACCCGCTAATTACTCCTCGACAGCGATGCCATTGAAATATACAGAGCGCCCGCAAAAACGGACGTTCAAAGACAATATTCTAAAGATGACTGCACCCACGTTTCTCTGGTGCATAAGGTCTATAGACGAGTGTTGCCAGCAGGGACCGTGTAGAGTGCCCTCTGGTGGACAAACTATACAACTCCAACTCTCATGACATGGTTGACAGGTGTTTCGTCCATTTTTATTTTATTTTTGAAATATTCATTTATCGGCCATTATTACTGCTGATACCGGTAGTTTGGAAAATGCCTAATATCGGCCGATAATATCGGCCTGGCTCTAAACTGGGAACGCCTCTGGAGGGTCTGGTGGACCCAAGTTCTGTTCTGCTCTCCTGAAAAAAAAAATATAGAGCGGTGACTCTCTCGATGAATGCTCGATCAACATCAGCCAACTTGCAAACAGACAACCGCCTAGCACTTGCCTCTCCCACAACAAGCGGATTTCGCCTCAGACGCATGTCAATTTCGCTTCAAACTTTTGCTTTTTACGCGTGTCCTATTCGCTCTGGATGCGCGAATGGATTCAAAATGTGCAAGCGTCCAACTAGATGCTATAGACGCTAGGGATGCAACGGTACACGGTAAAATCCCGGACCGTTCGGTCAGCCCTGCACGGGACAATCTAACCTCGTGTCCCGCGGGACTTCGGTTCTGCCATAGAGTTCGTGCTGATCCTTTAACCGTATTTTCCGCACTATAAAAGGCGCACTTAAAAGCCTTTAATCTTCTCAAAAAACAACAGTGTGCCTTATATTAGATCCATATCATATATGGATTAAATTCGCCCGCGAACTCGCGCTCGTGTCCAGCTTATGCCCGCTTTGTCACACGGCAGTTCAACCTCGTATAAATCAGGTTATGTGTGTGTCGCTCACGAGCGCTCACTCTAACAGACACACGAACAGACCGGCGCTGCTCGCGCGTCATAGATGTTCATAAAGCGCTCCCCGTTCACACGGGTCATCTCATTCAAAACAGCCAACTGTTGTTAGTGAGCCGCCGCACATTGAATAATATGAGTCAGGCTGCGAATGTAAGTTACGTGCCCGCCCCAGCGCGCTCACGCTTACTAAATAAACGCCTCACCTCCGGCTCCGTAGCCTACTCTCTACATTCCCAGCACATAGCGGATGCATAACGCAAACCCAGTCAAATGTTTTTTAATGTTATTTTTGCACAATAATCTCTCAAAAGTGGATGAGTAACATTGCACTTTGTATCCTGAATGCAGTATTTTTTTTATTATATTATTTTGCTCTGCTCTTTTTATTCAAACCACAAGCTAATTTTTGTTAAAGGTAAAAGTGCACTTTTTCTTTCACATTGATCACTTCATTTACCAGTTATCAAGGTTTGGAATTGGGATCCACTTGAATATTTTAAAGTGTGCTCGTTTACATTTTGTATATCATAAGTGGTATTTGAAGAGGTTGTATTGCTTAGTGTTGTTCAGTACAGAGTGTTGATTTATTCCATACACATTGATGTTCTTCCTACTGTGACATTCTGTTTATGCTCATAAGAAAAATAAAACATATTTTTGGGATGAAATAGCAGTCTCTTTCTGCACAAAACATGTACCGAAACCGAACCGAGACCGTGGCCCAAAAACCGAGGTACGGACCGTACCGTGGGCTATCTGTACCGTTGCACCCCTAATAGATGCAAATCTTACGTTCTATTTGCGATTGGTGTGAACGCAGCATAAGACAATCTAAATATTTCCTCAGGTGATCATTCTAATTGGTAACAAAGCAGATCTAGAAGCCCAGCGTGATGTCACATATGAAGAGGCCAAGCAGTTTGCTGAAGAAAACGGTGAGGTGGTTGTAATTAAAATTATTAAGTGATTATTAGTATCTTTAAAGAATCTTTAAAATCAAAATTTTTTTTCCCAAAATCATCTTTCTTTCTATTGCCTCTCAAAAACGATTGTTTTTATTGAACAATATAGAGTTCTGTAATATAGAACAAAACTTCTGGAATAACAAAACGACTTGGGGTAAATGTAATATATTAAATGTTAATTCATTGTTGTTTGTTGTGGGGCTGGGATGGTTTTTAGTCCATTTATTATTGTTGTTAATTGAATTGCTCAGATCAAAATGATAAAGAGGTCCACTGTTGAATTGGCATTGCCAGACATCCCACACTCACTACAATCTTTTCAAACAGGTTTGTTATTCCTTGAGGCAAGCGCAAAAACGTAAGTGGCCTTTAGGTCATCCGCCGTCAGAGCGCATGCACGTAATTTGTCAGATTCCCAGTGTGATGTTTCAGATCTCTTTAGCATCTCTGCATATGTCCATCCAACAGAGGTGAGAATGTGGAGGATGCTTTCCTTGAAGCCGCAAAGAAGATCTACCAGAACATTCAAGACGGCAGCCTGGACCTGAACGCGGCCGAGTCAGGGGTCCAGCACAAGCCCACTGCCCCCCAGGGTGGGCGGCTCAGCAGTGATGCACAGCCTCAGAAGGAGGGCTGCAGCTGTTAATGACCATGGAGACTTCACTCTCTCTATTTCTCTATTCCTTCCCCTCCCAGATCCCACCTTCGACTCCCTCTGTATCTAAAAGTCTTTCCCCTTCCAGTATGTTGGCTCATGGAGACTGGGGCCAGATGTGTAACATAATTCATGTTCTCTTCTTTCCCACCTTCACTTCTCCTCTGTATTCCCTCACTTGTTTTGCTTGTTTCTCATACGCACACACCCCAGTGCTCCCATTAAGCACTCAAGGGAGGACGGCTCCTCCACTGAACACTAATCCCGAAGAGAGAAGATGATTGTCGATAAACTGAAGAAATGCTGGGTTTATCCTTTACAGATGTGATGTGCGTAACTATAAACTAAACATCTCATGTACGTGGGGGCTGTCTGAATACTAGAGTAATGTAAATGAAATGGAAATATTGGCAAACGTTATTCGTGATCAGGAGAACATGCATCAACATTGTATGTAACATTTTGTTAAAAATCTAAAACTGAAATATTGTATTCTGTTTTAAATTAGAGTTTTTTGCAGTTCACATCCAATCACCAAATATTTATCCCTGTTTGTACCTATTCAGGAAATAATATACATGTACTATACAAGATTAGTATTGTTTTGAGAAGAATCTCAATGAAAGGTCCATTGTAAAAAAAAAAAAAAAAATCAGCTAGGGTCATTTCAGACAGTTATTTTAACTTAGTAACTGTTATAGTAATATATTGAAGAAGCTGGGACACATTTTAGGTCCTGGAGAATGTTTTCCGCACTTTGCAGATTTGATTTTTTTTTTTTTTTGTTGTTGTTGTTTTTCCCGAGGGCCTGGGGCTGGTTTAGTGTTAAGATCTTAAGTCTATACAAAGTTTCAGATCCCCTTTCAAGCTGTTTTTGCAGTAGCACCTCATTGCAGTACACAAGATCTAGGGGGCGGAGTTGGGTAGGTTTAGGGGTGGGTTTAGGGATCAGGGGGTGGAGCTGTGTGGGTTTAGCTATATGTAAGGTGGGAGGAGTTGGATCTGGACCCGACTCCTCCCCGCGGATTTCATGTTCCGCAGTGAGGACCATCTCTGTTTTTGAGCATCTGTAAATATTTGAACATCACAGTAGCTTAAGAAACAGACCAGCTGGAGAAACATGTACTGAATATTCAGGCCCTGCAAATTGTCATCATATCATGATATTCATACTGTTTTTACATCGATAATTTCAGTTGCCTTATGCTTTGCTTCTGTTCACGCTGATGTGCTGCCCTTTTTATTCATAATCCTCATGTAGCTTTTATCAAAAGAATTCCAGCGATTCACTTGTAATAGAGATTTTGCCTTTTCAAAACATTCCATTAAATTGATTTCCAAACACTGGTCATCTTTTGCGCTGAGCTGAGTTTCTTGAAGGTTGGTTAAGCATGATGCACGATATGACTGCTTTTTACAGGCATCATGGTTTTCCCCCAATCCAAAGGGAGTTCATCAAACCCTACAATTTATGAATATGTAACAAAGAGGCCACCACAGCATGAGAAATTCAGCCCTGATCTGATTAGTACAGCATCTTGAAAAAACAACTTAAAATGGGTTGATGTGACAACCAGCAGTTTTCTTTTTCCATAGATGCACATTTGCAGTGGACCGATAAAAAGGCAAAAACAAGCACTCCAAATATGATTTTTCTATAAAAATGTGTGTATAACAGTAGATTTTAGACGTTTTGTAAACTGAAAATCCCTTTTTATTTTGTGTTTACTGTCTTTTGCTTTTTTGACATCTTAATGACATCTGCAAAAAATAATCTTCTGCTCTTGAATTATGTCTTCTGACTGTAAGTGACTTTTATTTGTAATTATGTTAATAAAGACAACATATACAATTGATCGAACTGTATATGAGCAATAATGAGTGACATCTTGGTACATGAGAAACTGGACACGTAATGAGGCTATTCATTGTATTGCACACTCGCTTTAATTAAAGTATTTGGTTTGAGACAAACTATATTAAGTGAAGTGCTGTAATAAATACTCTGCATATCATGGTTTTGAATACAAGATCATTTTTGACAAATGAAACTCATCCATTCCAGAGCACAGCCTGGTTTTGTTCATCACATATACCTGCATCTGTTTCATCTGTAAACACTAACAAAACATTCATAAGGCATTTCCTACTTCAACATGAACAAAAGGCACGTGTGACAGTCATTAATAATTTCATAAAGCAACAACAAATCAGAGGTAGAGAACTTTCACCATGTTATTGTTTTTACCTTAAGTTTCAGTTTCCTTGTTTGTGTGCTGTAGAGACGGTTTAAACATCCAACCTCTGCCCTAACCAAAAGAGGAAGTCATTAAAACGGTCTTATGGATTTGTCTGTGTGCCCTTTTCTTGAAGATGCAGAGTTTAATCGGACAGTTCCTCTGGACTCATCTGTACTCCTGTAACCATCTGCTTCCATAATCCGATAAAGAAAGATAGTTTCTTCTTTAAATTCCGCACGGTTAATATTCGGTGTATGCAAATATTTGCTTATGTCAATACAGAAGTGCTGGTGGACCATTATTTCTGATCCCTTACATCGGTATGTTTTGGCAGAGCTTCCAGGTCACTCAAATACGAGGAGTCTTTGGAAGAGTTACCAAGGAGCTGGTCCAGTTTGTCAACATGTCTGCGCAGACCCTGAATGCTGTCTTCAGTTTGCAGTCTGCGCTGACTCAAAGCCTCTTGCTGGGAGAACATGCGACTGCGCAGTTGAACCTGGAAACAGACAGACATTCAGATTTCAAATTTTATCAGACAAAATCTAGATAATATAAAGTGTGTTCCCTTATCACAGGGCCAACGTCCTGATGAATTTAACTCCAATCACATTTTACTATGCATAACTTCATCTGCATATGATTTTTATGCATATTCCATTCACATGATACCATGTTTAACACAAGGTGAGATTAGAACCATGTGCCGTCACATTACATTACTAAAATCATTTGCCTTGTATTAGAATAAATAAATAAATATTGTATAAAATACATTTCAGAGAAAGTTATTCTCAATCACAGGACAAATAGAGGCTATTTTTAATTGCTTTAAGCAAATCAGACTTATGCAATTTTGCCGATAAGGTACACATATTTTAGGATGGTTAATATATTTTTAATGGAAACAGACCTTTTCTATTTTTTTTTTTTTTTGCAGTGTTGAAAATGTGCATATCTAATAATTTCCGTTAAATTCTATCCTTCAAATACAATAATATTTTTCATAATATTGGGAAGACCCCGAAAATTGTAGGCTACTGTCTGTCTGTGCATGACACCAACAGCACTTTTTACAGCCTGTGACTAGACTTGTTCAGCCAAATCAGTTCAATCACTGAGCGAGTCCTTCTGTGTCTGTCATTATACTGTTTATGTTGCTAAGAAATCTGCTTAGATGGAGTGACTGTGCATTACTGATCATTTTTCTAAAACATTAAAACAGCATGCCACAGGAAAATTGTTCAAAAGCAGCACATTCACTACAAATATTTCTATTTGTAGTGTAGCGCACTACACACATTTCAATGCCTTTTTTTGTGCGTACGCAACTTTTATACATCAGGCCTCAGGATTGGACAAACCCCCGACTTATCAAATGATCATGATATTGTCTGTTCATTCAATGGCTGCATCCTTCTAAGGACTCGGTCCGACATTCGAAGCCGTGGTCTGAGTGTTTTTAAATGGGACGGTCTGGCTTTTGGAGGATTGCGTCTAGCAAAATGGCAGTTAAACTGCCTAAAAAAAAAAAAAAAAAATCACAACATGTTTAAATATGTTCCCCTTGATCCATTTGTGTACATAATAAAGAGTTTAAATAAACTATATAAAATCTCATCTAGATTATTCAAGTAAGTAGAACCCAAAACCCAAACAATTCTGTCATCACCAGCGCGATGAATTTTCTTTTGAGGCTGCATTTTAAGGAGCCTTTGAATTGCGAGAGTCTTTGTCGCGCCTGGTGATGTAATCGGCCTTCAAAGGTTGATTATGGCTTTTGCCTATGGCTAAGCCATGTGCATCTAACCCAATACACTCGGACATTCTCTGCTTCTACGTCCATTGACATGTACTGCAGTTAGTCAGTTTTCATTCGTTTTTTCTTGTTATTTTAAGTTTAAAATGGTCAAGCGGTGTGTATGGGGTACATTCAACTCCGTCACTAGGTTCCTGAGAGGCTGGAAAGGATTTTTTTCACCCTTTCCCAAGCTACATCTCAACCGAGATAAGTGTCTGCTCTAGATTAAGTTATGCGATTAAGTTGCGGTAGATGACAACACCAACTAAATTAGGATAAATTAAACAAGGATGTCTACAGCTGTTCTAAGTTAAGTCAACAACGTATTTGAATGTTATCTTTAAAATCTAAAGTAACGTTAAGGCTAACGTTAGCCTAACATTAGAAAACCTTAACGTTAGCTTCTAGCAGCACGGTACATCATGTCTCTTAGCTTCATTAATGGTAACACTTTACAATAAGGTTCATTAGTTAACAATAGTTAATGTATTAACTAATATGAACTAACCATGAGCAATACATTTGTAACAGTTAATCTTCGTTGATGTTAGTTAATAAAAAATAAACCGGTTCATTGTTTGTTCATGTTAGTTCACAGCACATTAACTAATGTTAACAAGATTTTAATAAAGTGTTAGTAAATATTGAAATTAACGTTTACAAAGATTAATAAATGCTGTATAAGCGCTGGTCATCATTAGTTCATGCTAACTAATGTAGTTATTACTAATTAACGTATCTGTAAATAACAGAGATAACAAATGTTAACAATGTTGTACTGAATGATTCATGGAAATACTGTGATGGTGATGGCAACGATATGCAGTTTATCATGTTTACACTGTGACCTGTACATTTTTGCCTCGAGCTGAAGCTTTTCATTGACCTTCTCAACAATAAAATTATTAATATAACCCTTCAATGCATAGTTAAGGCCCTTTAGGTGACTTTGAGATGATATATAATCTTTCTGTCTCCAAAAATCACCAATTGCCTCCTGTGAAATGTCTCCTACTGTGACCGCTGCCATAGCGCCTGTTCCCGAATGTTGACTGTCCGAGTGAGTGGAGGGGCATGGCTTAGCTATAGGTCAATTGGGAAAGCAATTAAGATCCTGATTAACTTAACTGTACCTTCAGGTGGTCCTCCTGCTGCCTTAGTCTTTCCCTTAGTGCTTCCCCTCGCCACTGTTCATCCTGTTTGTGGAAAATGATCAACATTAGCCCTGTTCATTGCATCTCCTGAATGATTAACAAAACACAGTTTGCAAATGTGCCAGGTTTGAAACTGCAGAAGCAAAAAGAGAATTAAGAGCTGAATAAAATGGATTGTGTCCACCAGTCATTTAAACTACTTTTTGGTGCTTTATCGTTTTTGGAGCTCCCTCTGTATTCCATGGATAAAATAATCAGAATTTTCAGTGATACAATGCAGAGTAAATGTTACTTAAGAGCAGTGGTTCTCAGCCTTTTTCAATCCAATAACCACAACAATATTCAAAGGCCACCTAATTTTATTTTCAAAACTTATTTTAAACTAAGTCCTTGTTTCTGTAAATTAAACAGAAAGGTGACAATTTCAGTTGTTTGTGAGATATATATATATATATATATTTAAAATAGGGCTGTCAAAACGATTAATCGCGATTAATCGCATCCAAAATAAATTTACATAATATATGTGGGTGTACAGTGTATAATTATATATATATATATATATATATATATAAATACACACACATGCTTGTATATATTTAAGAAATATTTTCGTGTATATTCTGTATATAGATTTATATATAATTTATATTATATATAAATATAAATATTTTATATATAAATAATATTTTTTTCTTAAATATACATGCATGTGTGTTTTATATATATATATACAAAATAATTATACACAGTGCCCCCACATATATTATGTAAACAGAAACTTTTATTTTGGATGCGATTAATCGCGATTAATCGTTTTGACAGCCCTATTTTAAAATCCTTATCACAAACAACTGAAAAAGTCATGTAAATTCATTGGTTAAAAATAATGCAATTAGTTTAAAATAAGTATTGATATATTTATATTTTTTTCTTTTACTCAATTTGTACCCGATAAAATATTTAAAACTCAACTAGTAAAAAATGCATTATACATAGAATGCCCAACTGTGTTTTAAGATTTTATTAATTTACCAGAGTTTTCCAGGTGTACAAGTCACATTTTAGGCTTCCTCATACAGTAAATGCAGGTTTATCAAACATATTTATGGAGATGATTAATATCCCTGTTAAACCAATTCCTTAAAAATAAGGATTTATTGGTCACCAACAGTTTAATAACCCTTTGGTCATTTTTAATCTATAGGAGAAGTTTAAACTTACACATCCATGCTCTTGTTTTCCTCAAAGTAATGACAGTGACGCAAATTGTACGCAAACCGTAAATTGTAATGTGTGCGCACGAGAAACGTAGAGTGTGCCCACGAGAAACTGTCGCTAGTCTTTATTTTTTATTTTTTGCAAAGGTCCCTTTAGGGGCTCCGTATAATTGTAACTCAATGGGAACCGAAACTGTTTGGTTTCCAACAATCTTCAAAATATTTTCTTTCATGTTCAGCAGAAGAAAGAAAAGTATACAGGTTTGAAACGAAGGTGAGTAAATGATGACAGAATTTTTATTTTTCCATTATTATAAATCATTTAATCCATCATGAGGCCTTCTATATGTTTCCTGAGGCTCCCTAGTGCGCCCCGGCCCCTGATTCTGAACCACAGCTTTATAGTAATCTGTGCACTTTTACACCGCTATCTCCCATTCTAACACACTCGTTTAAGAGGTGCATATGAAAAGCCTCACCTTAGTGTTGTATGCTGGATTCCCCAAGGAGAGCATAACACTAGGATGATTCTCTTTCAGGCTGTCTGGGTCTGAGGAGGCGCTAGAGGGCGACTCCAGCTCCCTCACCCCACTGTCAATCTCCACTTTCATCTGTGACCTCACAGAGCGCACGCTGTCCTTAATCTCACATAGCCGAGAAACTCCTTCCTCTTTGCCCTGCAGCTGAAAGAGGCACATGACAGTCATTCATCTTTCTCATATCTCCCTGATAACCATGCACATTAACATCACATGTGCTGCAAAAATAATTACAGCCCAAACAAGTAGAACAAGTACAACTAATATGTTTATCAGTTGTGGTGTGTTACAATGCTATTTCCTGTTTGTACCATGTCTTTGAGGCAGAGCAGCTCTAGGGAAATTGTGCTGAGCTGTTTCTGTAGCATGTTGCCTTGTTTATGGTTTTCTTGAGCAACTTTTTCCACAGTCAGCAGGTCCCTTTGGAGCTGCACACGCTCCTGAAACAAGCTCAAGTTAGTCTGTCGGCTACCAACTATAGTAAAACTTACAGCAGGAGCTGACTAAAGACCTCGTAAAATGAAGGAATGTTAAAATAAAGCCAGCACAATACACCCATTCACAAAGGTATCATACTTACAGTCTAAAGGCCCGTTCACACCAAGAACGATAACTATAAAAAATATAGCTGCAAGCAGCAATAACAGGGCCAAGCACAAAGATGACAAGACATGCCAACATGTGTCAGACCAACTGCAGCAAGGAGCAACTGAAGACATTTAAAGATGAATTTAGGCAAAATGGCTGAAAAATCACATACATTAACTAAAAATGTGATTAAATGGATTATCACTTTCGACCAATAGGTGGCGTAGTTACACAATTGATGTGATGTGGTCAGAGTTTGATTGACGATGAAAAAACCTTCAGACAAGTGGCATTAAAATACGCAGATTTATTCCAAAGTTATAAGCATTATTAGAAATTTTGTTATAACTTTGACCAAAAGGTGGCACTTTCTTTAAATCTTTTGAGTACCTTCAGGGGATGGTGCTGATGACACAAACTGAGTTTCGTAATGTTACACCAATGCATTCGTTAAGTATAGCATGTTATGTTCTATTATAGCGCCACCAAGAGGCAAAATCCCACAATTTTTTCATGTGTCCTCAGAATGAGCCTATGCATGTGTGTGCCAAATTTGGTGAAAATATCTCAATTCGCTTCAGAGTTATAGACATTTATATGAAAAAAAAAACTTTTTCATATAAAAAAAGCCCTATGACCTATGTTTACAAACTTCTGACGGTGGTTTCGTCTTGATCGGACAAGCGGTTTAGAAGATTTCGGCGAAGATTTTTAAAGCGCTAAAGTACTAGATTCAGGAACACAACGACATGAATCCCGCTAAAATACGTTAACCACAGTCAGAGTTATAAGCGTTTGAAAATGTAATTTTACCACTAGGTGGCGCTGTTTCGAAACTTTTCAGGCTCCTTCAGGGCATCGTACTGATGACCCATAGCGAGTTTCGTAACAATTTGTTCATGCATTCAAAAAATACATAATTTTAGCACCTAATTCAAAATGGCCGATAGCCAAAATGGCCGATCTGGGAAAATTGGATGTCAGTCGACTCGGCATGACGCCCTGAATCTAACAAGACTACGTGATTTTTGGACAAACCGTTAAGAAATTAAGAGCACAAATAGCCATTTTTCATATCTCCAGACCAGTAGGTGGTGCTGCGCCGACACACAGCATGTGACCTCAGGTCATGCTTGTGATGACATGGGCCAAGTTTGGTCTGAATATGGTAAAGCTTTGCGGAGATACAGCCTTGTGTCTGTTTTTGCAAGGGCTACGTAAAATTAATTTGCATGGTATTCGAGAACGACTTGCAGCGTTTTTATGAAATTGATAAATTTTGGTCGGCACGGTCTGGAGATGATCTGGTTCAATTTTGGTGAGAATCGGAGCAATGGCCTAGGAGGAGTTAGAAAAAGTAGCTTTTTCGGATAATTAAAAATGGCGGCCAAACTGTCATGACGGAAATTACGTCATAGGGTTCAGTCGAATCGGCTTGAGCCAAGGAATAAGACGACAAAGGAATTGTGATTCAAGCCATTATGGTTCAAAAGTTATTAGCATAAACATGAGTGAAATTTTGGACAGTTGGTGGCACTAAATGGATTGAGTTGGAGACTCCAAATTTGCTAGGAAGACTTTTCAGACTGTCCACTATCAGTGTACCAAATTTCATAACTTTCCCGCAAGCGGTTCTATGGGCTGCCATAGACGCCCAGTCAGAAGAAGAAGAAGAAGAAGAAGAACCTGAACAGATACAATAGGTGCCTCCGCACCTGCGGTGCTTGGCCCCTAATAAGAACCGGTACAGATAGAATAGGTGCCTCCACACCTGCGGTGCTTGGCCCCTAATAACGATATAGATATAGTTCTAAAAATAGTTCTCAATATTTAACAGGGTTAGTACTACTGGATTACTACTTTCTGAAATATGGCAGTCTCATTTAACCAAGTCTTTTCAACTTGGGTTAAATTGAGCTTGATAATCTCAAAATTGCCAAAAATAATCTGAATGAAGTTTATAGTGTTGTTATTAAAAACTAAAACTATGAAATAAAAATTAGATTAAAAAAAAAACTCAACCTTAAACATTTTTTATAAAATAAATTCCTGTAAAAGTACTAATATTTAAAGTTCAGTTAAAACTAAAACACTAATAAAATAAATTAATAATAAATATATTTATAAAAAAAAATGACAAAAGCACATAAAATTACTACATAACAAATTTACTATAACTGTATATATATATAAATATATATTTAAAAAATAATAAATACTATAAAATTATATAAATAATCCTAAAACACTGGAATAAATGGGATTAAGATATTTCAGAAGATATTTTTTGTGCAAATAATGAATGAAAACAGAGGCATTCTTTAAAAGATCTTCTTTTATGTTGCGCAGAAGAAAGCAAGCCAAACAGGTTTGGAATGACTGGGGCCAGAATTACATTTTAGGGTACATTTTCACTTTAAAGTGATAGTTCACTTTGAAATTAATTTTTGATATGTTTTAGCTTACCTAAAGGCCATCCAAAATGTAGGTGTCTTTGTTTCCACAGTATTTTCAGTATTCACATATTTTCACATATTTAGATATACGGGAAATCGCAAGACGATTTCGATATATCTAAATATGTTTAGTGAAAGGTAAAACTTCCAAAATCTCCGTTTAAACAATGCGTGACGTAGACGCACGAGAGATCACTTCCGGCGTAACGTTGGACACGGTTCAGTTCGGTTCAGTTGGACATCTGATTCAGATCAGTTCGACATAGCTGTTAACAAGAGGTAAAAACTATATAAATACTGTCTGTTTTCTCACACAAACCGCTCGTTTCGTGTCTTAGGCCATCAGTGTGTACTTACATTCACGAGTCATTAAATCATGTTTCATTTTGACTTCTCTGTGCATGCTCTTTGACGTGGACCACCATACCTGCATTATATGACTGACAGACAACAACGGTTTGACCGAAAAATGTCAAAATTGAAAATACTGTGGAAACAAAGACACCTACATCTTGGATGCCCTTGAGGTAAGCTAAAACATATCAAAAATTGATTTCAAAGTGAACTATCCCTTTAATGCTGTTCTATAGCACCTAGGCAACAGCTCTAGTTTCCATTAAATTGCCAGTGTACTACTAATGCGTCCATCTGCCAATCACCTCTTTCACTCTCAGCAGTCTTTGCCTGTTTGTGCGGCTGTGGTTCCTCTGTGCCTCCTGACGTCCCTCAGCACTGGTCCTGTCAGACAGCAGAGCCTCCTGGATGCGATGGGTCTCCTCAACAGCGTGCTGGAGTCTGATGTCCCGCTCACACACCCTCTGCTCTGAACACACAAACACTTCAGTACTTAAAGGGTTAGTTCACCCAAAAATGAAAATTAAGTCTTTAATTACTCACCCCCATGCTGTACCAACCCCGTAAGACCTTCGTTCATCTTCGGAACACAAATAAAGATATTTTTGATTGAATCTGAGGGCTGGATCACTCTTCCATAGACTGCATAAGGGACTGGCTCTTGACGGCCCTTAAAGTCATTAAAGAAAAGGTTTAAATATTCCATGTGCCTACAGCGGCTCAATTTTAAGTTTATCAAGCGACGAGACTACTTTTTGTGCGAAAAAAACATAAATAACGACTTTATTCCACTATTCCATTACTTCCTTATGGGTGCATGCGCGAGAACTGAGACGAGGACGTTCTCATTCATCTACTTCTTGTTACCGGCTGCTCACCGCTTAGGAGTTTTACCGCCACCTACCGTATAAGATGATGTGCTGATATAGCTGGAAGCGCAAAACTTTCTGTTTACAAGCAGAGGAAGATGCGCGCTGTACATACGCTTTTCAATTTGCGTATTTTCCGCACTATAAGGTGCACTTAAAAGCCTTTAATCTTCTCAAAAAACGACAGTGTTCCTTATAATCCGGAGCGCCTTGGATCATCATATATGGATCATCATTTTATACGGTAGGTGGCGGTAATACTCCTAAGCGGTGAGCAGCCGGTAACAAGTCGAAGGAGAACGTCCTCGTCTCAGTTCTCGCGCATGCGCCCATAAGGAAGTAATGGAATAGTGGAATAAAGTCGTTATTTATGTTTTTTTCGCACAAAAAGTAGTCTCGTCGCTTGATAAACTTATAATTGGGCCGCTGTAGGCACATGGAATATTTAAACCTTTTCTTTAATGACTTTATGGGCCATCAAGAGCTAGTCCCTTAGGCAGTCTATCTAGGACTGATCCAGCTCTCATATTCAATCAAAAATATCTTTATTTGGGTTCCGAAGATGAACGAAGGTCTTACGGGGTTGGAACAGCATGGGGGTGAGTAATTAATGACTTAATTTTCATTTTTGGGTGAACTAACGCTTTAAAGGCAAGTCGCTCAGCGCTCACCAGGCTAAACGTAAAGGAACACGTGGTAATGCAGCTCACCCAGTTCATCCACCTGCTCATGTAGTGCAGTGCACTGTTTGTGCTCCCTCTGCAGGTCAATTTCTGCGACTGTGTCCAGCTCCATCCGGTCCAGCCTCAGGGCCAGAGCTCTGTCTAATGCCTGCAGCTTCTGATGCTTCAGCCTGTGCTGCTGCTCCAGATCAATGCTCTGCTGCTGCTGTACCCTCATCATCTACCCACAGGACACAAACTCATTACTCATAGATATTGGTCACCTAAATCATATCGGACAATTATTTTAAAGGTTAGTTAACCCAAAACTGGAAATTCGGTCATCATTTACTCACCCTTATAAAATCGTTAGTTCCAATCCTTGATTCTGATAGGTCAATAGCTGTGCTTTATTCATGATAAAACACGGCTATGACCACTTCACCAAACGGTTCTATTTATCACTGCCAACACTACAGTTCCTATGTTGTTTTTATTTGAGCTTTCATGCATATTACACATTGTAACGTTGTTGCTGTTCACGGCCAGGGACTTTTTTCTAGCGGAAGGAAGGCTTTTAGTGATTTTACTTCATGAAAGTTGCACTAATACATTTTTTATGTACTTTAATATTTTGTTGTGTGGAACCGTTTTATAAAAGCAATAAGGTACTTAAGGCAAGTGCTAATCGTGAATAAGTCACGGCTGAAGGGGTTGCAGGCCCTAACAACGCCCTTCAGCCGTGACTTATTCACGATACAGCACAGCCTCTCGTACCTTATTGCTTACTCATGGCAAACCCTTATTGGGTGGTCACAGTTAGCATTGCTCAGTTAATTTTTGTTGGCGAAATCCAGTCATTTTAATAGGAATCCACATGGATGGGAATTAAGAGAGAGTTTCAATGCAAGTTGTGCAATAGGTTCAGTTGGTCACGCAATTCGCTGCTAGAACAACAGAAGCTGTTAGGTTTGAAAGTGATTTCTGTGTAAGCTGCGCATCATACGTCTTCACTGTTAACAAAAGACTAATTACTCCCGCAGAATTTTGTAATGTGATCGTAACTTTTGTTCAACCTCGAAACACAAACAAATAGTTTTAAAGAAACCTGAAAGATTTTTGTCCCTCCATTGAAAGTCCTTTAGGGAAAAAAGTTCTAAAAAGAGGTGAGAGAGAAATACTTTGAAAAACTCTGTAACCTAATTCAACAGTTTAGTTGTAGTTCTTGTAATTACTTGATTTGCACATAATGCATTGGCAATATTGTATGTCAACATAATCATGTCAATAAAGTACTTTATAATTGAAAACTGAGATTAAAAAAGAAATCCATAATGGACTTTTTGAAGGAAAAGTAATTGATGAGATAATGTTCATTTTTGGATGACCTGTCCCTCTAACACGTCTAACGTTCATCATCTAGTTTCAAAGGTAAAGTGTATGAAAAGATAGTATCTCGCTTCACCTTTTCATGTTCTTCAAGCTGTGTCCGTTTTATGGCTACATCTGCCTTGAGCTTCTCCAACTGCTGCCCCAGTCGGTCCAGTCTCTGTTGTCTCCTCCTGATTTTCTCCTCTTTCTCCTGCAGTTCAGCCTTTTGCTCCTTTAGTTGCTTCATAAGCTCTTCCCGCTGCTGTCCCGCAGCCTTCACCTCCTAAACATGATCAACAGAAGCACTTTTCATGCTAGTGATACACAGAAATTGCAGTTTGAGTGCCTAAATCATTAACAGAAATGGTGATGTTTAATTAGCGCTTTTTCAGCTACAACAGGTAAACATGTCTTTTGTGCTAGAGTTGAGTTGAAAAACGGATTTCTCATTTTAATAACAATAGCCTTTGTGCTTTGTTACTTTGGATATTAAACAACGTCTCAGCTTTTAAATTTTGTCAACAGATCAGCACGAAATAAACATGATTGAACATCAGAAGGTATGTTGAAAGAAAAAGTACAACCAACTGAAATGTATCATATTTCAACTAAAGGCATGGAAAGGTGTTTCAACTGTGGAAAAACATCAATAAATAAGAAACTTAAGCCCCTTTCACACAGAGATTCCGGAAAATACACGGATAATGTGACCCGGCATTTGTCCCGGGATTGTTTGATTTCGGTTCATTCACACTGCCAGTGATTTGCCGGGACCTGTGAGTGCGTTCACACACAACCCGTAAAGATCATGAAAAGACGCATGGCGTCAGGATGAGACGTGTAGCGTACGCGTCGAAAACATGTACACGCGCATACCGTTCCACAAAGCTGGTGAACGATCTCAGCTTCAGCACGCATTTGTTCGTCCTTTCTTTGTTGATGACGAACACAAACTTTCTTCTAAAAGCAACAGAGTCGCGCGATGGCACGACCGTCATCACTATGACACACCCCTTACGGCATTGGTCCTGGCTTTTGTTCACCCAGCGCGCGTTTCGGGACCGATTCCGTCAATGTTACTAGGTCCCCAACCCGGCATCGATGCCGGTATCAATCCCGGGTCATGTTTGCGTTCACACAGAAGTCGTTCTGCCAATTTCCCGGGATCAACGCGCTGTGTGAAAGGGGCTATAGAAACAATCATATCATCATTCATCCAAAGTTGATATAAAAATGTGCAACTTAATTTTTTTTATATACACGATTTTATGTAAAACTGTTTATACAAGTTTTTATTTGATTTGATTATTAAATAAACTATTTTCGGTTTCAGTTTCTTGGCTAAATGAAAAGCGTTTTGCTGTAAACTCACCTCTTTGATCTCATCTAACTGAGTTTGAGATTCCACCAGCTGTTTCTTCAGTCTGCTCAACTCTTCTGTGGGTAAAAACAAGCATTTCAGAGTGTTTATTTTCACAGTGTATGAAAACCAACGGACGATGTTAAAGTAAGGCTGTTGAGTGGATACCCTCATGCTGCTGCTTCGCAGCTGCCGTGTCTCTGCTGATCTCCTGATGCAGATCATGCGCGTGATTCTGCTCCTGTTGTAGTTTGTCCAGCTCAGTCTTTAGTCTGAGAAGCTCTGCTTCTGCTGCCCTCGCCCTCGCCTCTGCTGCTTCCAAACACCTGAAACCAAGTCACCTTTATTTATATAGTGCTTTATACACTATAAATATACAAAGCAGCTTTACAGTGATAAACAGGAAAATAATGATCAATAAAGCAAACCGAATTCTGCTGTAAAAACAACGTCATCATTCATCTTAAGTCAGTTCAGTTCAATAACTGTGTAAAGTTCATCAATAATGAAATGAGTTCAGTTCAGCTATTAACTGCTCTACAGAAAACAATAGTACCGTTACTCACTTTGAGTCAGTTTAATGTTGATTCAATTTAATTTAGTAATTTACTGAACTATTGTGAAAGCTAGTTAATATAAAGATTTTTAATGCAAAGTATTTTCCCAAAAATTAAGTTGTAAATTGAGCGTCAGCGTCAGCGTCAGAGTTCTGGCAGGCCAAGTAGTGAAGACACTGCTATTGGCCAACAACACAGTCTCATCAGCGATCTGCTCAGCTGAGCTGCATAAGCTGATCTGCATCAGCTGTTCATTTCCTCTTGCCGCTAATGATTACGCTCAAAACAGGGCACCCTTTTTAAGCAGATTCAGTTCACTCCAAAATCCTTGCTGCTCGCTCCCCAGCTCCTCCTTGTCCTGTATAACATGGCATTTGCTATTCTGTCATCGTTGCTTCTCTGTTCATTTTGGGGAATAATTCAGCTCTCCCAGTCCTAAACTGTGTGCATTCCCTAATGCTGCTGCTGAAAGGTCAGAGGACTCCCTGAACAGAACCATACTGCCAAAAATGTAATTCAGAATTATCAACTTGAATTGCGATTTATTCAATAAAAATTTCCTAAATCATTTTTATTGTCATGTCATGTGTGTTCTTGACTTATTTGACCTGACAGAATTGTATTTTTGTGCCCCGATCTCATTCTATAGTTTAATGCTGAGGAGGACTCTCACGTACAAGCCAACGAATGGACTAAACAAGGAAGGGTGCAACCTCACTAGGATGCAGCCTTCTGTTTGAGAAGCACCCTAGTAATCCTGAACACTTGATTCACTGGTTCAGGTTGGAACTAAACTCGCGTAGGTTGGAGCTAAGCTAAACAAGGTTTGTGATTATCCACTAACCACAGAAAAACCAATTTCAGCCACACCATAAAGATAAAACTCATCAAGTCATTTTTTTTTTTGCTTGTCCAGGATGTTTCTCTGAGGCATGCTGAGATAAGTGGGTATGGAAGATGCATATGTTTTGTTTGCAAAATTAAATTTGTAACTTTGATAAAATATAGGTATATAGGTATTGTTGGTTATTCTGGACAAGAACTGCCCACTTAGACACTAAGCTCCTTGTAAATGATTGATCTACAAACAAATATAAGACATAAATCGACCAACTATTGTTACACTTTAACTTATGTGGTATTTAAAGGTGGATACATCTGAAATCATATTAATTTTCATGATGATGATAATAACTAAGTGGTAGCTTCATCAGATATCGACACAGCTGTATTTCCAATACGACTCAAAAGTCTGTAACTTGTTACCTCTGAGCATGTGTGCGTCTGGCCTCCAGGTTTCTGCACTGTTCCTGCAGGCTGCTCCTCTCTTTGTCTGTTTGCTGTTGCAGGTCGAGGCTCTTCTGCTGGAGGGTGTGCAGCCCCCCACGCTGCTCCTGCAGCTCTTGCTGCACATGCTGCAGTTCCACACGCACCTGAGCAGAGGAAGCTCATATCAAACAGCAGCACAAACAATATAGGCAAAGACGACATTTTTTTTAGGACTGACCTCTAGAAGCGTGTCCTGGCTCTTCTCTAGCTGGTCCAGTTTCTGGTTATGTTGCAGCTTCACTCCCTCTAATTCCCTAGTCTCCAACTGGACCATTTCCAACACATGCCTTAGCTCTAAACACACAAATTCTCAACATTAATTGGGGAACCAAACAGATACGATTCAGTTTTTTTTTTTCACTCATTCAGACTTATTTTTGTAATTTGTCAATTTCTGCACCACAAGCAGTAGTTCTTTATCTTTTTCATTTATATATGGAAATGTCAGGATAACCTACATTACTTGCTGACCAATACATAACAGAAAACCAAAATTGACTGAAACGTTTGCCATTTTCAGTAAAGCAGTGGCTTTTGGTGTCTTTCTTTTCTCTATTAGTGTGCAGCCTTCCATTTGGATCTTTTCAGTTTGCCCACCTCGTTTTTTGGACTTTTTGAAGGTTTGGTGAGTTTTTTAATATTTCAAATTGTAATGTCAGCAGAGGATAGGCTCTTTAAAGGAAAGAAAACAAGTTTCTACAAACACTCCCTTTCCACCTCTCATCTGCCACCCACAGATATTAGTAATCAGATATCAAACTTATGTCATGATATGACACATGCTTTAACCACTCTATATATTATGATGATTGTATGTATATTACAGTTTTAATGGGCTTTATGCACAGCTACACTACTTCCTGAACTTCAGCCAGCTCCTTTGTCTCCTGTCGGCAGTGTTGGGTAAGTTACTCTAAAAAAGTAATTAATTACTAGTTACTAATTACCTTTTCAAGAGTGTAATTAGATTACTGGACTAATTACTCTCTCTAAAAAAGTATTTAATTACTTTCAAAATCCCATATAAATCTCAACCAGCTGAATAATACAAGGATAGACATGAATCTGTTTTAATTCTTTCAAATAAATACTATAAAATTGTATGAATTATCCTTAAACTGACCAAGGTGGAGAAGGTTACATCATAAAAACATACTTTTTAACATCAGACAATACATTTTGATGTTAAACCCACTGTTGTTTTATGTCTGATCTCATGAAATTTCACACTTTTTTCATACATATTTTACAATAATTCATACGAATTTGTACGAGTGCGATTTAGACACCTCATAAAATGCATACGAATCGCTGTGAGATCGGATTGATCTATACAGTATTTACCTCAATTACATCAGAAGTAACTGTAATTAAATTACAGATACATGATGAGTAATCCCTTACTTTACATTTGCAAGGGAAAAGTAATTAAATTACAGTAACTAATTACTTAGTAATTAGTTACACCCAACACTGCCTGTCGGTCATTAATGGACAAACTGATTAATCCAGGTGTGCCTGACCTCAGTAGTCACAACAACAATAATCAGACACACCTGGATTAATCAGTTTGCCCAATAATGGCAGACAGGAAACAAAGGAGCTGGCTGAAGTTCAGGAAGTGCCAATTGGTTTACATGTTGTCTTAGTCATTTTAGTCCATTTTATCCCTCTTATCAGTTTTATGTGTGTATGTATTTTATCCATACTGGGTCTGCCTGCCATGTGACTGATCACATGACAGGAAACAGGAAATAACCAGCATAAAGGAAACAGCATGGCAAACAAGCCAGGGGCACGTTCAAGTTCAAAACGGTGCGCAACGTTTTGCTGCGGTTTCCTAGTTGAACGTCATGTTTCCAGGAAACGGTGTGCACCGGGGTTTGAGCTATGTTTTCCCTCGTTTGGTGGATGTGTCAGAACTGCAATCCAATCAGCAGCAACATGTATATAAAGCACGCGGTATTAAAGTGAACTCGCACAATGGGTTAAGGAAAATAATTTACAAATGTGTTCAATGCAGATCAGCTATATGCAACAACTTGAACTGTTTGTCGTTTATTGTAAAAATATAGGATATCAACTAATGTGGTTTATTATGTTATTTTTTAGCTTCATTGCAAGTGTATGACATTTGGTATAGAAATAAAAATGGTAAGTGCTTTTCCTAAAACTGAGAAAGAAAATAGGTTATTGAAACATTATGAAATACAAGTAAAGTTAGTGTGTGAGGCTAAACAGAATGTGTTTTAGTCTGAATTAGGTAAGATGTGTGCTTTCAGTTTCCACAAATCCCTTCACTTGATTGGGATGTTTTCTTGTGTTCTGGGCGGCAAGTGCAGTTACTGTAACATGGGGTATATTTTGTAATTATAAACACATATTTATACCGACTTCATCAGGCTCCGAAAATTCTTCACAAAGAATACAGAGAATGGCCTTATCGGGCTCCATAGTTGCAACTCTTGCGTCAGAACAGGGTGTTCAACGCATCACCGTTTCTGTTTAAAAAACATTGTGCAACGTTTTGTTCGGGCTGAACGCAGCCCAGTTCTCTGTCAAAACGACCAAAGCTGGAACGAGGAATTGTTTTTAAGGACTTACCATTCCAGCAAACCCCATCATTTTTCATTGGATTATCACTACAGTTGGACTGTATACACTGGTGGACATTTACACATTGGGAGTTACAGCACGTAAGGACTCTTAAGGACTGTTTTACGGTATATTGAACCAATGGCCTTTATACTTTTAACAGCTTAGGGTTTCTTTGGATTGTGTTGTTTTAAGTTCCTGGTAGAAATTGTAAATACACTTCATTAATACACATTATTTCTGTTGTCGTCTCATCTTTAAAAACACTTTCCATACTCTCACAGTTTAATCTGACTCCATTTTTATCTCATGTAACTCCACCAATTAGGGCGATTGTTACAACCATAGACAGTAATAAAAGAATATGGACGACGCCCCTTCGCTGTCTGCTTAATTCCTCTCCAGTGATGTCTGCTGATTGCAGAACCTTGTTAAAATAAGGTAAATACAACTACTAAGCACATAATCAACATTATTAAAAAAAAAGTCTGCTGGTGCTTCAGTGACTACCTCGTACAGAGACCTGTCAATCACAGCTGTCAATCATGATGTCAGAGCACCGTTTTTATAGCATCACATAACTAACTAAAAACAAACTCATTTTAAAAACGAACACCTGAAATTACATCAACGTGATAGAAACTACAGTAAATGACATTAACTATCTTTGGAAAAAGGATATGTGAAGTGTAATTGAATTGTTAAGTTGGTCTTGCGTCCCATTGAATGACATGGAGAGGTGGGGTTTATGACCTATACTAGGAGGTCACTGGGGGGCGATCGAGACGTTTTGGCTTCACTTTTGAGGGCTTGTGCGGCACGCTTGGTTACAACATGTCAAACTGGCCACTCTATAGTAACAGACCTGCTGTGTGTTTTTTGATGGCTGAACGAAGGCTCTGCAGGGTTTCTTCCTCTTGCTGCTGATCTTTCTTACACTGTGCCAGTCTGGCTTTCCTTTCAGACAGCTGACTATCCAGCTCTCCCTTCTGCACGGCAAGAGACTGGACATCCACGCGGAGTTCCTACAGACCGTTCATAAATATTCATCAAGTATTTCCTTAATATTTAAACATTGCATTAATATTTTGTGAATGTCAAAACCTGAATGCGCTGGTGTAAGAGTAGGGCATCCTCTTCTCCCTGTCTGAGAACACCTAACAGGCCCCGCCTATGCTGCTCCACACTAACTCTCAAAACCTCCTCTTCCTGTTTCCACTGCTCCAGCTTCCTGTCCAGCAAAGACAGCTCCTCCTGCTGCACCACCACCTGTTGGGAGACCCACAAAGTCACATTGATGTAATACTTTTTCAGCTACACAATATTGTTCAAACGTTTTGGGTCGATTTATAGTGAAACACAATTACAATCTACAATCTTTTCTATTTTGGTATGTTTTAAAATGGACTTTATTCCTGAGATGGCAAAGCTGCATTTTCAGTAGCCACTACTTCACTCTTCTTTGTCACACGATCCTTCGGAAATCATTCTAAAATGCTGATTTGGTGCTCAAGAAACATTTGTCATCATTTGTCATCACGGCTAAAATTTGTTGTGCTGCTTAAAGGGTTAGTTCACCCAAAAATGACAATTCTGTCAGTATTTACTCACCCTCATGTTGTTCCAAACCTCTATGTGTTTATTTGTTCTGCTTTACACAAAGGAAGATATTTGGAAGAATGATTTAATCAAACAGATCTCATTCCCCAATTGACTACTATAGTAGGAAAAAATACATACTATGGTAGTCAATTGAGATCTGTTTGATTAAAACATTCTTCCAAATATCTTCCTTAGTGTAAAGCAGAACAAATAAACACATTGAGGTTTGGAACAACATGAGGGTGAGAGATGTATAGTAACGAAGTACAACTACTTAAGTACTGTACTTAAGTACTAAAATGCTGTATCTGTACTCTACTAGAGTATTGTTTTTTTTATTTCATACTTCTACTTTTACTTCAGTAGATATTTTCGATGAATTTAATACTTTTACTTCGATATTTTGTTTAATGTTCTGCTAGTTACTCGTTACAATTATGAAAATTTTATGAATCATTCGTTGCAAGTTGGCTTTCATGCTGCCTAAATCACACGCCAGTTTTATAGGGTAATGGTATTGATTGACAAACACATTAACAACTAATGCAGGGGTTGTCCTGCAATGACTTTTTTTTGGCGGCCACCAAAGCAAATTTGTATCCCGCCAAAGCGCCTTATTTGATTGCTAGTTCAAACTTTTGACTGCTTTCTTTAATAATTATATAACACAATACTTGTACTTTTACTTTTAATACTTAAGTAGTGAATTTTAAAATAAACTACTTGCAATACTTGCGTACAAAAAATGTTGAATACTTTAGTACTTCTACTTAAGTGTGGTGCTTAAAGAGCACTTCAACTTCTACTCAAGTCACTTTTTTGATAGAGCACTTGTACTTTTACTCATGTCCAGGTTTCTAGTGCTTTATACATCGGTGAGTAAATACTGACAGAATTTTCATTTTTGGGTGAACTAACCCTTTAAAGAATGTGTGAAAATTGATGCATTTTTTGAAATGCAATAGCATTTTTTTTAAACAGATATTTTGTTGCATTATAAATGTCTTTATTGTCATTTCTGAATAATTTAATGAGTCTTTGCTGAATAAAAGCAAAATTTCTTTAAAAGAAAACCATCTTAGTCACCTCTAACGTTTGAATGAATGGTACTCTTTGGTTGATACTGAGTGGTGATTTTTAGAGCTGTACTTCGTATTGTGTTGCTTCTTTACACATGTGTTACCTGAGTGCTGAATTTGTCCAGTTCTGTTTTGCGTTGTGTTAGGCTGTCTTCTGTCTCTCTGCAGTTCTGTAGGAGTTTCACCTCCAGGCTCTGGGTCTCTCTGAGCTCTTTCTCAACAGTTTCCAGTCTATATACGAGACAGACAGTTCAGTGGAGAGAAATTTTCTCGATTCAGTGATTTACTGAAATTACAGTTCTAGCACCTGTCAGTCGCTCTGTCCAGCTTTCTGTTGACTTCTTGAAACTTTGCATCTTGAGATGAAAGGACCTCCTCTACTTCTTTCAGAGTGTGTTCTTGGTCCTGTTTCCTTTTCTGCAGCTCCTTAACCTCCTCTTCAAGATTCCTTTAGTAGCACATTTACATGTCTCATTTCTTGCGAGTTTTCCAGCTCAAACTAAACTTGATGCAGAATCATAGAACAGCCTTAAAAGCTAAATTGCTATTAAAATCCTTTAATTATAAGTAGACCATTCGTAAGTTGATTTCCCCCAAAAGTGTAAACGCTAGCTTTCAACATCATGTTCTCTTTTTGTCTAAACAATAGCAGATGGGAAGAGTCTTTGGTAAACCTTTTCGAAATGGTTTCCATGTGTGGTGTTTGTGTTCACCTGAGCTGTTGTTTGGTTCGAACCAGCTTTGTGGCACTGTCTTGAGCTCTCTTTTCCATCTCCACCAGCTCTCGTTCGGTCTCTTCCGCTTGCCTGCTGGCCTCATTGAAGCGCTGCACGCTCTCTTTAGTCTGTAAATTTATTTACTGTCAGTTTAATTGCTGAATAAAAGTATTAATTAACAACAACAACAAAAAAGACTTATTTGACAATAAACCTTTAAATGGTAGTGTATTAATTGTTTTTAATTAAATAAACACAAAATTATTGAATTATTAAAAAACGAATAAAAGCCTTAAATTATATTATTAAATTAAAACAGTGTGATTAACATCAGTTTTAGCTAAGTATTTACTGTGTAGGGGCAATTACTGAATCAGTGATTTTTGTAAAATATATTTTTTTGTCATCATTATAAATACTCACCTAAAGGATTAATAGGAACACCATACTAATACTGTGTTTGACCCCCTTTCACCTTCAGAACTGCCTTGATTCAAAGTGGCATTGATTTAAGGTGCTGAAAGCATTCTTAAGAAATGTTGGCCCATATTGATAGGATAGCATCTTGCAGTTGATGGAGATTTGTGGGATGCACATCCAGGGCACGAAGCTCCCGTTCCATCACATCCCAAAGATGCTCTATTGGTTTGAGATCTGGTGACTGTGGGGGCCATTTTAGTACAGTGAACTCATTGTCATGTTCAAGAAACCAATTTGAAATGTTTCAAGCTTTGTGACATAGAGCATTATCCTGCTGAAAGTACCCATCAGAGGATGGGTACATGGTGGCCATAAACGATGGCCAATTGGAACTAAGGGGCCTAAAGTGTTCCAAGAAAACATCCCCCACACCATTACACCACCAGAAGCAGCCTGCACAGTGGTAACTGCACAAGGCATGATGGATCCATGTTCTCATTCTGTTTACACCAAAGTCTGACTCTACCATCTGAATGTCTCAACAGAAATCGAGACTCATCAGACCAGGCAACATTTTCTAGTCTTTAACTCTCCAATTTTGGTGAGCTCTTGCAAATTGTAGCCTCTTTTTCTTATTTGTAGTGGAGATGAGTGGTACCCGGTCGGGTCTTCTGCTGTTGTAGCCCATCCGCCTCAAGGTTGTACGTGTTTCGGCTTCACAAATGCTTTGAAATAACCACTCGTTACAACCCAGGTATGCAGCAGTCAAAGTTGCTCTTCTATTAACTTGAATCGGTAGGCCCATTCTCCTCTGACCTCTAGCATCAACAAGGCATTTTCGCCCACAGGACTGCCGCATACTAGATGTTTTCCCTTTTCACACCATTCCTTGTAAATACTAGAAATGGTTGTGCACGAAAACCCCAGTAATTGAGCAGATTGTGAAATACTCAGACCGGCCTCTCAAAATGGCTTAAATCACCTTAATTTCCCATTCTGACATTCAGTTTGTAATTTAGGAGATTGTCTTGACCAGGACCACACCCCTAAATGCATTGAAGCAACTGCCATGTGATTGGTTGATTAGATAATTGCATTAATATGAAATTGAACAGGTTTCCCTAATTATCCTTTAAGTGAGTGTATATGATGCTGGAGAATTGATAGAAAAGTGAAATGAGCTACACTGGACTTCTGTAAGGGCAATTCACACAATTGATGCAGGTCAGCGGAGCAAAAAGGTCTGGATATGCGTTTTTTTAGAATGCTGCATCATGGACAAAATGCAGAAAAAGACAGGGAGAAGCAAACACAACGGTTAAACACATCTGTCTCACACGTATTTGCATTGATAAACAATGAAAAAGAAGCGCAGTGGAATGGAAAAACGTGTTCTGTGTGAATGGCCCATACTGAATATATTTTATAGTGTGGCTATGCAACAGTGAGGAACACTAGTGTCAGACCTTGGCTTGAGTGTCTTTGAGCTCTGTCTTAGCCTCTAGAAGCAGTCTGTCAGCTTCTCTGAGCTCTGCTCTGCGCTTCAGCAGGGTCTTCTCCACACACTCCACCTCCCCCAGCAAACACTGCTCCTCCTCTGCATGCAATACAGAGCTTTCCAGCCCACTCCTGCTGAACCAAAACAATGAAAGGCATTAGATATTTATCCATAACATGTGGTTTACATTTCAGAGATGCTGTGTGTTATACGGAGTTGATATTGAGTAAGATACATTGGTGTTAGCATGCTCACTGACGTGTGGCGCTGCATCGTGTGGATTTTCCTGCGCAGACGTTTGATTTCCTGCTGCAGCTCTGTTGTTTTTTCCTGCAGTGTGTGCTTTTCTTCCTCAGTGTGAACTTTATCAGCAAACTCGTCTCTCAGCCTACGCTCTGCCTTCTTCAGATCTCGCTCCTAAAACGCATACCAAAACTACTTACGTTATAAAAATTAAGACCATATGCATGTACAATGTTTTTGAAAGATGTTTCTTATGCTCACCAAGGGTGCATTTACTAAACAATAAACAGTAATGCTGAAATATTATTACAATAAAAAAAAACTGTTTTCTATTAGAATATATTTAAAAATGTCATTTGTTTTACATCTAACATTTAATTTTCTTTTCAGCCACCATTACTCTGATAGTTCTAGCTGCAAAACTACCATTATTCTGATAGGGGAGCTCATTGGAATGTAATACAAATGCATCAGTCGTTGCCTTAGAAAAAAAAAAAAATACAGACGATATGAGATGTAAATAGCGACCGCGTTATTGAGGATGATTTACAGAGAAAATTGTATAATCTTGTGTTAGTAAACACCGTCAATGTAAAAATGTAATGTTAAAATAAAGAGCTCTAATACATTTCAAAATTACAGTAAAATGACGTAAAATATTGTAACGGCAGCGTAATTCAACAGGAAATAACAGAGCTAAATTTAACTTGAAATCTATTCTACACACAGTATCTCTCACCAAGTCCTGATGTTCAAGCACATTACAGTGCAGCGCCCCACTGGGCACCAGAGGAATAGTAAGATTGCTGGGAGGAGGTCCGTACACCAGTCTGGCTCCATCAGGAGGCGTCCCACAGAGGACTGTACTTGAACCAGTGGGCAGGCCAGGTACAGGGTAACTGTAGATAAATGAACCGGGGGGGAAAGCGGTAAATCCAGCAGAGTCAGACGGAGGCGTGAAACGTGTCCCCTCCATATCGCTCTCTCTTCCACTGTCTCTGAACATCTGAGCATCTGAGGAAACACATGGACAGATATTAAAGCTTTGACATGATATTCATCACCATGATTATGTTCAAGAGAAAGCCTGTGGCACTTGCCTCTCTTTCCATGAGCGTGCGGATGGGGGGAGTAGACCCAGTATCCTCCATTCAGGGGAGGTCTTCTCTCCCTGTGTGCTCTGTGGCCGGACCGTCGACCTCTCTCAGGTGACTGAAGGTGCACAGAGTCCAATCCTGAGTCTTGTGTGCCCTGAGATCCCAAACTAGGGGCCTGAGGACAAATAGCAAGCTGATTATAATGCAATACACTTACAAGAGTATTCCTTTTCTAATGCTAAAAGAACATGTTTCAAAACATGATTTCTTACATTCTGATTTGATGGTACATAGTACCAATATCCTGTGTTTGGCAGGGGATCTCCTAAGCTGGACAGGAAGTTATTCTGCTGTAGAAGAGTCTCTCTCAGAACTCCAATCTCTTCCAGCAGCTCTTCTAGATTTCCATTGTTAGCTAAACAAACCACAATATATAACAAGTCTATTTTTGCACTGAAGGAAATGTGCATGGTGCTTGCTTGGCCATAGAACACAGCATCATGATGTTACCATGGAAAGATGACAAACAAACCTTCTTTAGCTTGTGCAAGTTGATCTTTGAGACGCTTGGTTTGAACCTGTTGCTTTTTCAAGGTTTGGTTTAATCTTTCCAATTCTTGCTGTTGAATACTAGAGTTTGGGACACTGCGGCGATTCCCATCTGTCTCATGAACCTTCATTCAACAGAAACCATGGAATGCATTAATGTACAATGGGGACATGGCATTAACAAACCAAAATCTCTGAGAAGTAAGATACTGAAAGTCATCAATTTGCAAATGAGAGTAGTGCAGGAGCTGCGTGGAGTACCAATCATTTATGTACACAGAATTTTTTGATGTTACGATTTGAACTTTGGGTGCACTGAAATACCGCATTTGAACTTTTGCAGCTAGAACATATGCGACTGCCTGACAAAATGTGATGCATTCAAATCAAAACTATGAGCATGATAGACGAAATACAAATATTTTGTATTGTTTCTGTGAAATAGGGAGTTATAAAGGACTATGACACTATTTTCTTCTACAGGGGTTGGACAATGAAACTGAAACACTGGCCAATGTTGGAGGTTTCACATCTATATGCCTGGCGGCCAATCTTCAGAGTGAAGCACGGGTGGATCAGTGATGGTTTGAGCTCCAATATCATGACAATCCTGATTGTATTTGATGGACACGACACTGCCGAGGACTACCAAACCCTTCTGGAGGATCATGAGCACCTGATGCTCAAACCGCTCAAACCGCATGATCATGCACCAACACACACAGCAAGACTTGTAACAGAAGGGTTTGATGAAGATGAAAGTGACGTTGAACATCTCCCATGGTCTGACAGTCACCAGATCTGAATATTATTGAGGTGTTTTGGAGGAGCGAGTCCACCAGCATCATATAGTGACCTGGACACTTTTCTGGAAGAGGAACGGCTCATAATCCCTCTGGTCACTGTGAAGGACTTCTATCTGTCAATTGATGCTGTATTTGGATGCAAAATGAGGCCCTCACCATTCTAACAAATTATTGTGTAGTAAAACCAGGTGTTTCAGTTTTTTTGTCCAACCCCTGTAGATCTGATGTACAGGTGAACCTTTGTTGTATTATTTTCCTGTTATCAAGCTAAAGCTGCTTTGAAACATTCTGTATTGTAAAAAGCACTAAATAAATAAAAGTGACTTGACGACTTATAATTATTATATTTATTTATGCTGATTAGCCCTCGAAAACCTACTATGCTTTTCTTTCAAATGTATTGGCAGTAATTTGTTCTGTGTGCACAAATTCATGCAGGGTTATTTTACAACAGTTCTGTGACTGCCACTAGGGGGCGAAATGTGGCAATAGTACCCAAAATGTCAGAGATTATTAGAAAGAAAGATACAACTGAAGACTAAAGATTTGAAGATTCTGAGCAGATACATTACCCTCTCTGTCAAAAGCTTCTGGAGAACCTGGATTTCTGCTTCAGCACTAGCCAGGTCCTGAATGGCTTGAGCAGCCTGAAACTTGGTGCTCTGCAACTCCTCTGCATTCTGCACACATATAAACACAGTTAACCTTTCTCACATTGATGCTGCTCTGAAAAGATCTCAAGTACCCTGCACTTTGTCTTACCGCTGCTCTCTCCAGATGTATTTTTTCTATAGTGCTATGAAGAGAGTGAAGTTTGTCCTTAGCTGCAGACAGTTGTTCGGCAGCCATTCTGTCAGCAGAGGAAAATGATCTCCTGAGTGCCTGCAACTCCAGACTGAGAGAATCCAGCTGCTCTTGAGTCTGGCTTTCCTCGGCTTTCATCTATAAAAACAACTAATTATTAAATACATGGCTGCTTAAAGCAATTTCCAAAGTAAAATACTTACAAAGTAAACAGTTTAGGTCTATTGTGATCTATAAATCACACATAGCTGACTGAAAATAAAGCATTTCTATAAAGGCACTGGTAATGTCACAGTCTGCGTCTGCACCATCCTGTCTGCGTCTCCTTCACTACACTTCCCATGATCCTCTCGTCTGCACACCTGAACTCACTCCCTCATCAGCCTCCCGTTCAGCGGCCTGTTCATCTGTTTCACCTGTTTTCACCCCATTATGTTTGATTCCCCTGTGTATTTAGTTCCCTCAGTTTCCTTCAGTCTTTGTTGATCGTTGAACTTGTGTTACGATGTTTTGAGCGCATTCCTGTCTGTTTTGGTTCCATTGGATGTTGAAAGTTTAAGTAAAGTGTTTGCATTGGAATATCTGGCTCTTCGGTCTTCTTCATCTACCTGCACTTCCACCACACGCCGTGACAGGTAACTATAAACCCTCATTCAGTTTAAAGTTGTCCATAGGGTCTAAGAATAATAATAAAAAAAAAAACTTGCTTTTCTTGCTAAGGTTCCCTACACCTAATATTACATTTTGATTAAAGAATAAATGTATCAGTATTTTATTGTTAGGAATGTTTCCCTTTCAAACATTCAACGTTTGGTGTCTCAGAATGGGAAACGCCTTGGGCACATACTGCTGGTACTGGCATGAGTGAAGTACAATGAGCTACTTCGAAGAGATTCCTGACTGAACTACACATTTAATCTCAAAGCTGAGCAAAACAGAACAAAATCAAGAAGGTGGCAAACAAATTTAACAAAAGAGGTTTCAAACGTTGAATATGTTGGGACCTGTTTATCTTGTTCTTCTAATTCAGCAAGCAGACGGTCCCTATCGATTTCGGTCTCCTCTAAACGCTTCAGCATCAAGTACTGCTGCTCACGAGCATCTTCCAGCTCCTCCCTCAACCTATGGAGCTCCGCTTCATCCCCACACCTCTCTGCTGCCTGCTGGAATCAAACAGACAGAGATCAGCATCACTTCATACAAAGACGTTATACTGGAATATGTGAGCATCTAATTGATGATATTTTAAATAACTAGGGCAAAATGCTCGTGGGAGAAAATCTGCTTTCTTCGTCCCTCTGTCTCTGGTCCTGCGCTGTGCTCGCTCAATGTGCAGTGTGAGAGGGGGAGTGGCCAGGGGCTAGAGCGGCAAAATCCAATGTGTGCTTCTTTTAGCGATATATTTACAGGGGTTGGACAATGAAACTAATACACTGGCCAATGTTGGAGGTTTCACATCTATATGCCTGGCGGCCAATCTTCAGAGTTAAGCACGGGTGGATCAGTGATGGTTTGAGCTCCAATATCATGACAATCCTGATTGTATTTGATGGACACGACACTGCCGAGGACTACCAAACCCTTCTGGAGGATCATGAGCACCTGATGCTCAAACCGTGTATCAGTATGATCATGCACCAACACACACAGCAAGACTTGTGACAGAAGGGTTTGATGAAGATGAAAGTGACGTTGAACATCTCCCATGGTCTGACAGTCACCAGATCTGAATATTATTGAGGTGTTTTGGAGGAGCGAGTCCACCAGCATCATATAGTGACCTGGACACTGTTCTGGAAGAGGAACGGCTCATAATCCCTCTGGTCACTGTGAAGGACTTCTATCTGTCAATTGGTGCTGTATTTGGATGCAAAATGAGGCCCTCACCATTCTAACAAATTATTGTGTAGTAAAACCAGGTGTTTCAGTTTTTTTGTCCAACCCCTGTAGCATTTCTAATCCAAACAATGTCAAACTCGGCACTGCACTTACTCGCGCCCGTAGTAAGAGACTTGTCAAGTTTGAGATCCATCGGACTAACGGTTCGAGAGATATGCGATTAACAGACAGACACACACACACACACACAGACAGACAGACAGATGTTCCAGCAATTTATAGATAGTTGATGAATTGAATGCTCACCTGAGTCTGGTATCTCTCATGGTACTTCCTGAGTCTCTCTTTGAGCAAGCCCATTTCTCCAGCGAGTCTGTCCTGGCAACGCTGGGCCTCTTGTCGATCTCTCTGAGCTGCAGATACTACACGATGCACCTCCTGTTGTAGCTCTATGAATTTCTTGTTCACTGGGTCCCCGAGGTTTTCAAAGCTGCAACTGGATGGGATAACAAAGACATTTCCCAATCTGTCGGACACTTTTGTAGTCACATAGTTAAATTATTTTAATTTGCTAAAACGTATAATTAGAATCTATCATACCTTAGTTCCTCTTGTCCTGTAGCTATAGCTCTGGACAGCTCTCCTAAATGTTTCGCCACATTCTCAGGGTGCAGTAGCTCATCCTTAACCTGCTCTAAATCACCATGAAGAGCATCCACGTTCTCCTTAAGACTGTCTCTCTCCTCCTGTGAAATACATTTTCAGCCAGGGATTCAGAGATGTGAGTCTTACTGGAGGCTGAATGATTCTCATACATTATCAAGCGGCAGAATGTACTGTACATTACACTTTTACAGGCAGTGAAAGGGTTTTTAATGAGGTGAGGGGTATCTGCACTTCAGTTATCCATCCTTTGGTCTTTCCAAGAATTTTCCCATGCTTATAAAGGGATAGTTCTGACTGAGCTTTATTATTCTGGTTTGAGTTCTGATGTGCAGTAACACACCTGAAGAGTGTTGACCTGCTGCAGAAGCTCAGTGTTCTCGAGCTCTCTGTTGGCAGCCATGTGCATCTGAGCCAAAGCATTCTCTTTTGCCTGTCTTTCTTTCTGCAGCTCCGCCTGCAGTGCCGAGTGCTCCATCTGTAAATGTGGAAGGCAAGTAAACTTAAATGTTGAAATATCAAAGGAAAGTTCACACATAAAAAGTTCACTAATAGTATATTATACCCCTAGTCATTTAAAGCCATTTGTGTGAGGAAAAAATTTTAGTTATTCACTCTTCCACATATTCAAATGTAGTAAACTACTTCAAAAGTTTAGGGGTGTTGGGGTAATTTTTAATAAAAATGAATGGTAACACTTTACAATAAGGTTTCATTTGTTAATGTACTTATTAATCTTTGTTAAAGGGATACTCCACGTTTTTTGGAAGTAGGCACATTTTACCACTCCCCCAGAATTAAACAGTTGAGTTTTACCGTTTTTGAATCCATTCAGACGATTTTTTGATATTTAGAAGAATATCAGTAACCAGACAGTTTCTGGTCTCATTGACTTCCATAGTAGGAAAAAAATATACTATGGAAGTCAATGAGACCAGAAACTGTCTGGTAACTGATATTCTTCTAAATATCAAAAAAAAAAAAATCGGCTGAATGGATTCAAAAACGGTAAAACCCTAATGTTTAACTCTGGGGGAGTGGTAAAATGAGCATATTTCCAAAAAAGGTGGAGTATCCCTTTAATGTTAGTTAATAAAAATACAGCAGTTCATTGTTTGTTCATGTCACTTAACAGTGCATTAATAACATTTCACAATATCGCTGTGTTTATGTTATTTTTGAACAATTAAAAACAGCCTCGGTGAGCATAAGAGACTAAGATACATAAAAAATCTTACCGACTACAAACTTTTGAATGGTAGTGTGTTAATCACTTTTACCACTCCCCCAGAGTTAAACATTAGGGTTTTGCCGTTTTTGAATCCATTCAGCCGGTTTTTTTTTTGATATTTAGAAGAATATCAGTTACCAGACAGTTTCTGGTCTTACTAACTTCCATAGTATATTTTTTTCCTACTATGGAAGTCAATCAGACCAGAAACTGTCTGGTTAATGATATTCTTCTAAATATAAAAAAAAAATTTGGCTGAATGAATTCGAAAACGGTAAAACTCAACTGTTTAATTCTGGGGGAGTGGTAAAATGAGCCTACTTCCAAAAAACGTGGAGTATCCCTTTAACAAAGTACATTAACAAATGAAATCTTATTGTTTAAGGAGCAAAACGAATGTAAATATTTTTTTCTGATAATACACGAATGAAAATGATGAAATAATGAAATAATGCAAAAATGTAACATCCAGCTTGTTGTTGAAGTATTTCAAGAAGATGAGGAGATATCAAGAATATCTGAAGTGCACAAGTTGTTTAATTGTGAGAGCTGCTCCTTTTTGGAGGTTGATTGGCACTAATCACTAATCACTTTCTTTTTATGAAAAAGGGTTTAAGACTGGAAAACTGGAACTCAGTGTCCTCTGGAGACAAAAGGCATTGTTATTTTTATTGCAAAATTAAAATTTGACCCCCAACCCCATTCCTCTGAGAATCTTATCTACATCTTCTCTCTCTCTCTCTCAGTCAGTAACACTGAAAACTCACACAAGAATATATGGTTTTAAAGTGAATGTGATAATCTTTAAGGATTGTTTAGTATCATTTTGAAGGTCTCAGGGTGACTGGTAATAATGTCTCAATTCCAAAGAAGTATCAATTCCATAGAAATATCTTGCACACAGAAGGGTGTGTCTTTGAGTTAACACCTTCTGGCCTTTTGGTTGAATGCAATTTACTGGTTACCTACTAGTAAATTTCCACTGGAACTTGCATAAGAAATTAGGTCTTGCTATATAAGGGAAATTAACTGCATTCAGATGAGCCCGTGAGTTGGGAGTTCTGACCCCCAGCACATGTAGCCACGTCGGGTAAAGGATTCTTTTTTGTTCTAGAACATTTGATGGTTTGCATGGATTATCTTAAAATTGATTACGGAATTGTAATAATACATTTACCTGACATAATAAATTGTTATTTTTTATTATTCTAACAGACTTTGACTTTATTTTCATTAGAATTAAAAGGAATAGTCAAACATTAACCTGTATGAAATGATGCACAGATATCATTGTTAAACCTTTATCATTTTATGGAGTCAGATGAAACGAGTTAAAGGGTTAGTTCACCCAAAAATGAAAATTAAGTCATTAATTACTCACCCCCATGCTGTACCAACCCCGTAAGACCTTCGTTCATCTTCGGAACACAAATAAAGATATTTTTGATTGAATCTGAGGGCTGGATCACTCTTCCATAGACAGCCTGAGGGACTGCCTCTTGACGGCCCAGAAAGTCATTAAAAGAAAAGGTTTAAATATTCCATGTGCCTACAGTGGCTCAACTATAACTTTATCAAGCGACGAGACTACTTTTTGTGCGAAAAAAAAACGTAAATAACGACTTTATTCGACTTTCCATTACTTCCTTATGGGCGCATGCGCAAGAACTGAGACGAGACCGTTCTTCTTCGACTACTTTTTGTTACCGGCTGCTCACCGCTTAGGAGTTTTACCGCCCCCTACCGTATAAGATGACGTACTGCTTGTAAACAGAACGTTTTGCGCCTCCGGCTATATCAGTACGTCATCTTATACGGTAATTATATGGGTGAACTAACCCTTTAATACATAAGATTAAATGTGTTGCAATTAATTAAAAATCACTTTGCCATGGGAAAGACGAAACACACGTGAAACCTTCACCACAAATCAAATTCTTCCATTGGATCGATTTTGTGGACTTTACAAGGGCAACATGAATATTAAACCTAACATTTTGTGAAATGAAAAGAAAAAAGGTTTGGAGCAACAATTTTTATTTTCAGGTGAACAATTCCTTTAAAAAATGATATTATATTATGGATGAATATGTAAAAATAAATGAAGAGATTTCCTACTTGACTGAGTCGACGCAGTCTGCCGAGCTCCTCCTTCAGTTGCGTGGCCTCAGTATCTCTCTCCTGCAGTTGGGTCTCAAGCTCTGTCTCATATTCACTGACCTGACCCTGGGCCTGCTTCAGCTCTTCGTTCTCCTTTCTCAGATCCTCCAACTCCTGCTGCAGATGCTGCAGCTCCTGTAACACAACAAACGATATGGTAATGTTGACTAGACATATTGTTACAAAGTGGTGTATTAAAACTTAAAACTGCACTGTTGTGCATTGTGTCAGAATCAGACTCCAACCTCCTGTGCGCTTTCAGCACTCAGAGCATCTTTCTCCAGCTGTGTGCACTGAAGCTCTTTCTCACATAGGAGCTGCTGCAGAGTATCTTTCTCTCTCTGCAAAAGTCTGCAATCTGACTGGGCTCTTCTTGCCTGTTCCTTCATCCCCTGCAGATACTCCTGAAGTCCAGAGATTATGCCCTCCAAGTCACGCTTGAGTACTTCATTGGCAGCTATCTGACCTAAATGAGTGGAGAATTTTTATCTTACTTATTTTAATTTAAACATATTGTATTCATAATATGGATCCAACGACATAATTATCCAATAAAGGAAAAGTAAATTCTAAAAAGTTCCTCACCATCAGTAAGCTGTTGCTCTAGTTCTTTGATCTCCTGCGTTTCCTTGTGGATGCGCGTGATCATATCATCCAGCCTGCCCTCCAGTTCTTGGTGCTTTCTGCTCATGATGGCCAGCAGCTGTGTCTTTTTGGACAACTGAGCCTTCACATGGGCCTGTAGAAGAGATGTAGAAGAGAGTCAGTGCAAAATCAGTAGAGTCACAAGTACAACACAAATGATACATGATGCCAGTTTAATGTTAAACAACTTTATTTTTAGTCTTTTTTAATTTTATATTAAGGGACCAATATAGTACGGAGACTGCTCTCATTAGAGTCACAAATGATTTGCTCTTATCACCCGATCGTGGTTGTAGCTCTCTATTAGTGTTACTTGATCTTAGTGCTGCATTTGTCCACAACATTCTTTTAAACAGACTAGAAAACTATGTTGGCATTAGTGGAATTGCACTAGCATGGTTTAAATCATAGTTATCTGACCATTAACAGTAAATGAAGAGATGTCTTACTGATCACAAGTTCAGTATGGCGTGCCACAAGTCTCAGTACTAGGACCGCTGCCGTTCACTCTGTACATGATGTAACCATTAAAAGATATCATTAGGAAACATGGAATTAGCTTTCACTGTTATGCCGATGATGGTCAGCTGTATATTTCTTCAAAACCTAAAGAAACTTACCAATTCACAAAATTAACAGAATGCAATGCATAGCTGATATAAAAAAAATGGACAACTATTAATTCCCTTCAACTAAGTTCTGAGAATACAGAGATTCTAATTATTGGACAAAAAAACTTCCTCACGTAATAACCTAGAATAATGTCTAACACTTGATGGCTGCACTGTTAAGTCTTCGTCGTCAGTTAGGAACCTGGGTGTGCTCTTTGATACCAATCTTTCTTCTGAAAGTCACATGGCTAGTATATGTAAAACAGCATTTGTCCATGTTAAAAATGTATCTAAATTACGCCATATGCTCTCATTGAAAAATGCGGAACAATTAGTTCATGCGTTCATGACCTCAAGGCTAGATTATTGTAATGCTCTACTGGGTGGTTGCCCTGCATGCTTAATAAACAAACTACAGCTAGTTTAAAATGCAGCAGCTCAAGTTATTACCAGAACCAGTAAGTATGACCATTTTAGCCCTGTTCTATCAACACTGCATTGGCTGCCTATTAAACATTTTATAAATTAAAAACATATTGCTGATTACTTACAAAGCACTAAATGGTTTAGCTCCCCAGTACTTGAGCAAGCTCTTAACGCATTATAGACCTTCACGTCTATTGCGATCTCAAAGTTCTGGCCAGTTGATAATACCGAAATCGACTGCTGGCGGTAGATCCTTTTCCTATTTAACACCAAAACTTTGGAACAGTCTTCCTACCATTGTCCGGGAAGCAGACACACTCTGTCAGTTCAAAGCTAGACTAAAAACACATCTCTTTGACCTAGCATTCACATAATACATTATTGACTTCTATAATTCAATGTTAGGCTGCACAGATTAGGTCAGCCGGAACTTGGAACACTTCCCTTAAATCCTGGTGTACTCGTTACATCATAAGAAGAATGCCATCTACGCTAATTTTAGTGTCTTTGTTTATCCCAAGGTTTTCCCGCAGCCTGCCGGATCTAGGCTGTTTCCAGATCTGACAAAGGATCTTCGTCTGGACCTGATGACAATGCAATGCTGAAGTGTCATCTAGCCTCTCCCTATGGAGGATCCCTATTCCACTTTACAGACAAAGCATTGTGGAAATTTCGGTTCACGTACCTACCCCGAAGTGATCAAATAAAATAAAATTCTGTATCAAAATGTATAGATAAGACAAGTAGTTTGTTTAGGCATGGTTTGTAGGGAATTACAAACCTGCACACATATATTGAAACACATAACTATAAAATCAATTCTTAATGCGCGCAAGTTCACGTTTAAAGTCTATTTAGAGAAAACGGTGTCGTCTTAGTGGCCCCTAATTTAATAACAAATTATCATTTTGACGGAAGTGAATCAATCAAAACTAAGTTTAGCTGGAAAATAACATAATTCAAGAACCGCTATAAACCAAACCAATCTCTATTACCAAATTATTTGTTTATCTCTGTAAAGCTGCTTTGAAACTATCTACATTGTTAAAAGCACTATATAAATGAGGATGACTTGACTTGACTTGACCATAATAAATACAGCAAGGACAATGACTATAAAAATAACTATAACGCTTTAAAAATCATTAATGAAAAAAATTGAAGTCCACACCACAATAATAATGATACAAAGGAATTATATCAATGGAATCACTTTCAGATTTTCTTTTTCAACTGATAAAGGGAGAAAAAAAAACACTGACATGCAATCATCCAATCCATCCTGTTTTAAGGAGGTCAAGCATTGAAAGTTGCAGACACATATCAACACATATCATGTGTTGTAGTGGACGTTAATAGTTAATTATCGTTCTTGATGAAAACTGAACTATGTGGACTCATTTGATGTTGACCAGTAAACCACCTGAACACCTTAGCAACTGCATAGCAACACCCAGGCAACCACCCAAAACACCCTAGCATCCTGGGAAATGCACACAAATGTGTAATTGTACAAATGTAGAACTACTAGGTTTCATCATTAATGCATTTAAAACTGATCTAGACTGATAAATTATTTGCAGTTTTTTTCAAATCAATCTGATACAAATCTCAGGACAGAACTAAAAAAAGACAAATCCCAATTCACACAGACTGAGTAAAAAATGGTGTAGAAACTCACAAATTGTAAAACAAATGTTTTCACTCACAAATGTGGCAAGAACACATTGTAGTTATGGGCTCTATGCACGGCGGTATTTCCGGTGAAGGTCTAAGGATGCTCAATAACTTCCGCCGATCATAGAGTCCAATGCAATACTGAGAATTTATATTGAATTTTATACTCCATGGTTATAATAAAGAAACATTAGTCACAAAAACAGATAAAACAGACACCCCTCATTGTGTTTATGGTCTTTTAAAAATGATATTAAATAAACATAACTATATATAAAATTACATCTAAACGTATGAAAGTTTCGTTTCAAAGACGGGAGGACAGTACATTTTGAAGACTCTGCCAAAATCCTGTTTTCCTCTGGTTTCCTCCGCTTTAATCTCCCCAACCGGAAACTGAAGAGCATCCTTGTGTCAAATACGGAACTTATGCGAGCATATAGCCCATTGTTAGTTATTATGTAGTTATATATTGTTACAGTGGTTCTCATAGGGGACATGTAATATTCTCATTGAGGAGACAATATTCAACAATATTATTTATTTCACTGCACTGACACTTTTAGATGAGAAATGAATTGAGCTGGATGATGACATCAATCATTGTTTTTTGCAGAACTGCGTTAGATGACAAACTAGTTTAATAACTTTTACAACAGAACTGAATCAACACTTACTTAACTGAAATCAGCTGAACAATGACTGCTTTACAGTCTAAATAAACTGTTAAGATTTGCTCAACAAATAAATAATAAAAAATCATCTATAAATAATTTCCCTGCACTGTAAAGCTGCTTTGAAACAATCTGTCTTGTATAAAGTACTATATAAATAAAGGTGACTTGACTTGAATTAAACATGAAATTAAGTAGAGAAGTAGAAAGACTGAAATAGTATTGTCTTGTGAAACATAATCTATGTTTAATATAGTCTACACAGTATATCTTTGAGAAATAGCTGGTGAGTGGTGGGCGTTCTGGCACAATATGGCTGCCGTTGCATTATCCAGGGTAATGTATACCCTGTATAATGTATACCCAAATATATAAATGTAATGAATTATTAATTGTTAATTTTTTTTAATATATTTAAGGGCTGCTCTCTTCTTTAGGTACTAATTATGAATAAGTAATTACTGATAACAACCACTAAAAAAGTATGTTATATATAGTATGAATGTGTGTATTATTTATTTGCCATGTTGCCCTTATCACGTAACCTACAGCATCAGTTATGTCCCGTTGTGTGCCATTCAAAAATCCTCTCCCGTGGCCTCATTGGATAGTTAAGTGTCCATCATATCCACACTTCAGAATCTCGCCGGAAGTAGTAGGTCATCCGGGTACTTTTTTCCTTTATGAGTAACGTGAATTCGGACATACTTCTTTTGTCATTTACTACTAGACTGTAGGGTTTGGGAACTATGCGATTTCGGATGCAGCCTCGGACTTCTGCATTCGTTACTTCTCCACCCATACACTTCTTCTTCCCTTCCAACGTTTATCTCAAAGTGATAATGTAACACTTATATTAAGCATTATTTTACACATAATCCATTGTTTAAAGGCCAGTTTGTTTTAAAACTTTGAAGCAACCTTCTTTATAAATAAATACAGTATATCAAAGGTATTTATTTGTATCTAATGGTTTGGTTACAGTAATTTAACAATGTACATTGTTATCATGCAAACTGCTCTCAAATCTAATGTAAGCCATGTAAAATATGCAATCCAGTAAACCCTGTTGACATAATGATTTAGCAATTTCCTGTTTAATAACACGGAAAATATATTCCATATACATTCAAACTTTCACATTATTGAAGCATATTTTGACCTAAAAAAAAATTATGTTCTTATTGTTAGGTACCAATAATCATTTCAACAAACAGAATCAAGAGTCCCAAATTGCAACATTATGACAGCAGCCTCCCATGAGCCCCTCCTTGACCCCAGTGGGGTATTTACTTACTAAAGCGGTGTGGCTGCCATCTCTTCACTTTCTGTCTCTATATATCCATTTTTCTCCTGTTGCTGCCCCAGAAGGGGAAAGAAAGAGAACATTTCCTGTCTCTTTGAGCTCCGCTACACTAAACTTCAGAGCTTTTGTCCACAGAGTCCAACTATTATTAAAAGTAGCCCTCTCCTCTAGACTTCATTCTCCCCCTCCTCCTCTACCCCTCTGCTTTTTCCACCCTCCTCTCTACTCTCTTTGAATCAACACAGGAAACTTTCTGCCTCAGCCAATCAGTGCCCTTGTCTAGGGCCTGGTGGGAGTAAGGAACCTCTTTGGCTCCACCCACAGCATAAACAGATTTCCCCTAGGACAGAAGTTCTCTCTTCTTTCTTAAAGAGGCAGACGCCTCATTTTATACGACTTGATGTTGAGAATCATGGGCTGGTGATTATTAATTCCATAGAGATCTTCATCTTATTATTGTCACCTTTGTTGTTAGGGAGGTACCACAACACATCAGTGACTGAGACACATTTTCGACTACACTTTTTGTATGACAAACATTTTCGTAACAGAAAACAGGAAGACATGATCTTTGTTGTTATTTAAGATAAATGTTGTAGAAATGTGTAACCATTGTTCTTGTTTTAAAAAAAGGTTCTTGCACATATCCTTTTACATTTTAATGTATAAACTATAAACTATACTTTTTATAGTTTTTAATGCTTTGTCTGCCAACCATTAACAGACCATACTTGAATTTTTTTAGCAGTTGTCACAGAAATAAAAATGTAATGTGTAACAAAATAAAACTCTTTACTGTCATTTTTGATCAATTCAACCTTTTTTATTTTTTTATACAGTTTTTACATTACAATATTTTTTTTCTGTATATGAAAAGGTTTGGTGTTATATGTTTTTTTTTTATATAATTTATGTACGTTGCATTATTTTAGTGTTGTGTATTTTACCCCGATGGTTTGTCTTTACGTAAGTAACACTGTTGTGTGTATTTTTATTTATTAGCCATTTTTTATAGAATGGCCGTATTTAATGAATTATAATTTTTAATTTGGCCTTTTATTTTAAACATCTGTATTGTTATGGGGGTTTACCTTAAGCATATTCATGTAGTTTAAGTAGTTTGGTCTATTAAAGTTGTGATGCAACGGAAGAAGCAACAGATCTTTTCTTCTGTATTGTAACATAGTTGAGTAATAATAGATAAATAGAATAATAGATTACCGAAAAAGAAAAAAAAAAGTACAGTGGGGACTTTGTTCAATGTATTGGTTGTTGATTGGATTTTGAGATGAGTGAGAAGACTGTTGTTTTTAATCGGATTGTCAGGTTATGAAATTTTGATTAAACATTCAGAGAAGAGAAGAATAACTGACTTTATATCAGTTCATGATGCATACGGTTATGAACTGTAAAATATGCATATTTCCGGCAACCACAGTTGCTAGTTTTTATACTGTAAATTTAACAGGATGTTTTATAGTGTTCAGTAAGGCAAATGGATTGTATTACCTTTTAGAAGAATTGTTTTTGTAATTATTATTATGAATACATTTATTTACAGAACATTGGTGTCTGTTTTTGCCTCTGTGTTATGACAACAATAATCCAATGGAGGTTGCACATAACAGAGATTTTATCACAATTAAAGGGGTTTTACTCGCTCTGCAGCACATTGTCACAACAGCATTACTTAGCCATGGTAAAATCACTGTAATTATTGCTTTAGCATCATAAGCATAAGTGTTACTGACATGTCTGGGGTCACTGGGATCCAGGCTGTGCAGTAGATTCTGCAGCTGGTCCATTTCACTCTGGGCTTGATTCCTATCAGCATTCAGTGTGTCCAGCTGCCTCTCCACAGCCTCCATCTCTCCTCTTAACTCTCCCAACCTCTGTATCCTCCTTTTAAGCTCTTGCCTGAACTGCTCCTTCTCAGCTTCACAGATCTATGTGCAAATCAACATAGATACATGAAATTATTTTAAAAAAAATCTGAAATATGAATGGGGACTCAAATTTGACTTAAAACAGAGAAAATATTATCAGTGAGAACTGCAAGTGGTGTTTTAAAAACTTGTTTAAATGGGGAACATCTCACCTGTCTCTGAGAAACTGTCTCCTCTAGCTGCCGGAGCTCCTCACTGGCTCTAAGGATCTGCTGCTCTCTCATCTCAATTTCTGTAAGTAATTGCTGTAATCGCACCTCAGCTAAAAAAAAAAAAAAAAAAAAAACAGCATTAGGAAATCTTGCAGAGATGTGGATCTTACAGTGGTCCCACAAAAACAGGAAAATGTCCTGCATCATTAGTTTGCTGATGCCACTTGGTTTGATTCTATTTGGGGGGCCAGTGTTCAACGGTCAACAGTTGTTTCAGTATTATTTGAGGGTAATATTGTACATAAAGTATGCACAAGCAAAGAGATTGTAAGCAACTTAGTCGCAAACTGAGCAGCATTGCTGGTAATAAGAATAAAAAACTACAGATTGTTACAAGTAAAGCTATTAAAAAATAAATAGCATAAATACAAATGAATTTATAACTATTTAGACCCTTTAGTGTAATGTGAATATACAGTACCCTTGAACCTTTGTACCTCTGAGCTGCGCATGTCTGGACATGTCATGTTCTTTGGGAAAGTCTGTCTCTGTCAGGTCCGCTGAGGCTGGCTGATGCTGGTCTCGTGCACCCAAGAGGATGTTCCTCTTCCGACAAGACTTTCCTATGTAGGGACTCTCGATAGAAAGTTTCTCTACCTCCACCTCCTGAACAACATAGAGAATGATGTCTCTAAAAATTAATATAATCCTACCATACAAAAATGACCAAAGCAAAGTCAATTAGAGCTTTTTGAACTTAATCACCAAAGCTCAAATGAAACGTCACCTATGAATTAATCAGAATGTAACTAACTCTTAACTAAAATCGTATTAAAATATATTATTTTCTTAAAAGTGTAACTGAATGAAGTAAAACTGCACTGCATATTGGATGGAAAAAGACAAGTTGCACTACCATTCAAGAGTTTGGAGTCAGTAAGATAGTTTTATTTAAATTAATACCTTGATGCATCAAATTCATCAAAAGTGATAGTAAAGACATTTAAAGCATTAAAGGAGAACTCCGGCGGAACTCCAGGATGAACCTTTGGTCTAATTACACATTGGTACCTAGTCGACCGTTCTCTGAGATTTGTTTTCATGATAATCAAATGTAAAGAGTTTTATCTCTAAAAATTGTTTAGCGTATAGACCCCTTTTGCGCCGACGTCACAGTTACGTCACGGCGCTAGCTGGAGGCAAAACAAAGTGAAAACTGGAGGCGGCCAATGCAAACCAGTACAGATTCGGCTAAACCTTTACTTACATTATAAGGAGCTTAAATTACTTTTATTATTTTTAAATGTCATCTTATTATGTTGTTTGGTGCAAGTATCAATGAAAAATGAATATGCTGTATCTGGACTTTTTATTTCTGGAAAATATTCAGATGATTAAAATCGCACCGTAATGTCACTCTTTATATTGTCGTCTTCTCTGCCCTGGCTCGGCAGAACTGCGGATCATACTCACAAGTCTTGTACAGGACCATTCAGCACATAGTTATAGGCATCTAAAGATTTATATGCTATCAGTTTCTCTTTACGATCGGTTTCTCTATAAGGTAGGTGTAGAAGTCAGGCCACTCACCCGAGGTAACGTAACGTTAGCTAATCCTGTCAGTTCGTCCATGCATTGAGTGAGTGTGTGAAGGCTACTGGTCGGCCATCTGTTTCTGTCCGTTAAAATTAACTTTTGAAAATAACAATCGTTGTCCTGGACAGAGAGTGACCTTACATGTTAAGATAAAATCTGATTTTCTCCAGTCATTGTTAAAAAACAAGCTAATAAAACTTGCTAACTAGCGTTAGTGAAGCGGCAAGAGGGATCGTTCTGCCTCCACCTAAGCTCCGCCCACATAAAAACGTCACCATGTTTACCGACTGAAAAGGGGTCTATAACGCTAGTATATGGGGGGATTTAATAAGTAAAAAGAAATCGCTTCTTAATACCACTAACAAGGCTCAAAATAGCCCCACACTAGCACAGTGACATAATGAGGGTCCCTACATGCAAAACGAAGCATTGAGAAATTTGAAAGTGTACAGACCTTTAAAAAGAAGATATTTTAGAAAGACAGTGCACTTCGTGTATACAGGCGGCGCCATCTTTGGAAAACAGACTCGTCAATAGGCTTTATGCCAAGCGTCATGTGACCAAACCGCAAAACAGGTCTCATCGCATCCACTTGTCAGAGAAAGTGTTAACGGCCGTGAGAACCGACTACGATATCTATGGATTTTTAAGGTAATCAGCTACGTTAACTTTGTTATTGGCGTTTCATTCCATTTACATATCTAAACGTTACTGTGAAGAAGAAAAAATATAAAACGTTTAAATATCAATCTGTACATGTGAGGGACATTGGTTGTTCTAATCTTTACTCGCTCATTTTAAGTTATCTTGAGTAAAACTGCAAAAAAATTCATGAAGTACATACAAAAGACCAGAACCGGAAGCAATGCGACCTGTTTTACAAAATGCGGAAGTAAGATATAATCGAAGATATAGCCTAATCGAACCTAGATATAGCTGGCCTCATTTTCAACAGAGCACAGGCTCACAAAAAAAACTCCTGGGTTGAAGGGTGAATACTCACAAGTCCCCAACTTGACACCACTGTTTGGGTATTTTTTTTTTTCATGTCCAGAATGTCTTTTTCTCCCATCTCTGTAGGAGTGATTCCTTCATCCCGAAAGAAGGTTGGAGATATAGAGACCTAGAGGGCCCTGTTCAAAGCCTGCATTGCAGAAGCAATTGCCTGGAGGTTGTTGGTGCCAATCGTGTCGGCAACCCAAGAATACATTGGCGAACACCAGCGGTGAGGGAGGCCGTCAGGGGGGAAAAAAGAGACCTTTTGGGTGTTGTTAACCTGTGGGTATCCCGATTCTGCCAACAGGTATTGGGAGGCTAGAAGGACCACAGCTGCAGTTGTCGTAGAAGCAAAAACTTGGGTCCCACTATATATTAAGTGGCTTTAAGTACTATGTACTTACATTGAAACGAATAATTTGATACAATGGACTTATTGTGTACGTACATGTTTTTACATTGTACTTATATTTAACAAATACCAGCATGTAATTACAGCTGTAACTAATTTATGTAATTACATCTGTAATTACACAGCTGACCCATCCCTTATACTTAAACCTGCCCCGAAACCGACCCATACCACCACACCTGTCCCTAACCTTACCCATATCACACCTCAATAGCAGCAAAAGTGTTTTACAATACAACATGAGCACAATAAGTACATTGTACTTATTTTTCAATGTAAGTACATAGTACTTAAAGCCACTTAATATAAAGTGGGATCAAAACTTGGATATGGGAAAAGCTCAGACAAGCCATGGAGGACTTTTGGTCGACTTCAAAGAGGTTCTTCTGGCAAACCATCAAGTGGCTTAGGCAGGGAAAGTATGGGCTGGGATACTGAGATATTAAAGGCCCTAGATGAATTCGGGCTCTCTTGGTTGACACGCCTGTTTAATATTGCATGGGAATCCGGGACACTGCCTGGCGATTGGATGTGGTGGTTTCCTTTTTTTCTGTTTTGTGGGGGGGCACTTTAGGACTACCAGGGCCGCTTATGTATGCCATCCAATCCCTATAGAACTGTGTGATAGCTGCATTTGCATTCTCTGGGAACAAGTTTGTCAAACTTGTTCCCAGTGAACGCTGGTCTCCGCCAGGGCTGTCCTTTGTCACAATCCTGTTTGTGTGAACCATGGCCCTCTTTCCCACCGCTGCACACACCCACCTCCAAATCCAAGGCCATGGTTCTCAGCCAGAAAACAATGGACTGTCCAATTCGGGTAGGGAGGGAGTTGCTTCCCCAAGTGGAGGAGATCAAGAATCAATGGGTCTTGTTCACGAGTGAGAGGTAGGAGAGGTAGGTCAGAGCATGAGATCGGGTCATTATACTGGACCGTCATGGTGAAAAGAGAGCTGAGCCAGATTAACCAGTCAATCTATGTTCCAACCCTCACCTATGGTCATGAGCTTTGGCTAGAGACCGAAAGTTCGAGCATCTAGTCAGGATGCCTCCTGGACACCTTGCGGTGGAGGTGTTGCGGAAAAGGGAGTATGGGCAACCTACTTAGCCTGCTGACCCTATGACTCATTCCCAGACAAGTGGAGGAGAATGGATGAATGGATAAATGTAATCTTGGGGAGCAAGAGACTTCTTTCAAAAACCCTCAATCCCAAACTTTTGAATGGTAGTGTAAATTTACCAATTTAAAAAACAAAAACAAACTAGAATTATTTCCTTTTTCTCAAAACATATCACAATGAATGATCTAAGTTATTATAAAACCTAAACAAAAACAAAACTTACAGGGTCTGGATAAAATGGAAGAGGTTCAAACTTGACATCTATTTTGTGAAAAGCCAACTCTTGCTCGAGCTCATAGTGTTTTTGACAGGCCTGGGTCAACTCCACTGTTTTCTGCTTCAGCTGTGTAATGAGGAAGAGGTCATTTAAATAAAACACTTTACATAACACCATAAAACACATCACTACAAACCTCTCAGTTCAGAATGAAATTGAGCCTTAAAAATATGTGTACTACAAAACTGTTAAACTCATGGAAATGCACAGAGCAATGAATGATAATTGAAGATTTCCATTAATACAGAATGCACACATGCAGAAACGTGCTAAAGAACATAGCAAAGCCATACCATCAACATCGCGCTCTAAAACGAGAACCTGAGAGGACAGGAGAACATAACGTTGACATCATTCCATAATTGGTAGGACACATAAGTTAAAAGACATTTAAGTACCTGACAGAGGGTATCCAGCAGAGGAGCATGATATGGAAGCTGAGATTGAAAAAGGAATGAGAGAAGAGACAGTAGAAGACATACAGATAGTTTACAGAAGAGCACAAGAGTGAAAGATAAATAAAATCAATAGGGAAGGGAAAGTTAAAAAGGATGGCATTAAAGCCAATTCGGATATATGAAGTCAATTCTACTCAAATTTACCTGTGTCTAAGCAGATTAACCACAGCTGTAGATCATCACATTAGCCATGAATGTGGTCCACTAAATCGCGATGTCTGTGCGATTTCAGCAAGGTACCTACTCACCCTGAACGAGTAAATCGCATGCGATGCAAAGCCAAAGTTCAGGATTTATGTGCTCACACTGTACGGTCCGATCGAGTGAAGCTGCGACTTCACTGCTCACACTATACGTGTAATATCTGCGATAACCCCCTGGATTGCGCCTATTTACGTGTATGTATCCAGAGATATTGTCAAAACAAGCATCTGCTATCAGTATCAAGATGATTTAGTATTTTCAATTTATGCATTTAAATTATTATTATATTATCATTATTAGGGGAGGCCTATAGGCTAATTTTACTATTAAATTGATCCGCTATTATAATTAATTTGCCACGCAATATTTTCACAGCACATAACCAACGTGCTGTGAGGATAATAAAATATTAATCTTACTCCTCATTAAAAATTGTCTAAAACATTTAGGTCGATTACAATGAATTATATACATATAAAATAACTATTAACAGTCTATAATATGTCCGAACATTGCCATTATTAATCATCAATGAAAATTAAAAACAGGTTTATTTCAAAAACATTGTTTGACAAAATAATAAAAGAGGTGTTACATATCAGGTGGCTTGAAGACGGTGGGTAATATTATCCATTTTGCAACACGAACTGGAGGTAAGCAACAGTAATTTGTAGCTCGTTTTTATTTTAATTTTATTTTTGCTGCAGATGAAATGGTTAAACTTCTGTTTTCGCGCAGGTGCAGTGAGGGAAAAAACACTGAGTTTAGGGCAATCGGTTCGTAGCTTTGCTTCAACTGTGCGATATAGTCACGAGGAGCGACCAAAATTTCTGACATGCCAGAAATTCATCCGACCATCCTATTGTCGATCGTGAGAGGTTAATCGCCTCTCGTTTCTCCCGGTACACTGCACGACAAACGACGCACGACAAATCTGAAAATCGGTCCGACACGAAAATGAGTCGCACGAGTCAGAATTCGGCTCAAAATCGGACGAAAACCGCACAGTGTATGCCCGCCTTAACATTTAACAGTAAAGTATCCAATTACATGCAGTACCTTGAACAATATATATCTATTGTTTTTCATTTAAAACTTAACAAAAAACATTTCTGTTAAATATTTTGCTTAAAAAAATGTGCCTGTGCAATATAAATAAATGCCACTTTTTAAAAAATGTTGTATACTCTAGAAAAAATACTGACCAAGTGCATTAAAGCAATGAGTATAAATTTGCTGTTCTAGTTGTTGAAACAGGTTTTGTTCTTCAATTAAAGCGGTGATACATTATGCAAAACATTCAAAAACACTTTTCAGTACCATTCACAAAGTATCTTTGGAGTAGGTAACAAAAGTATGGAGTATGAAGAGAGCTGAACAGGAAATTGTCTAGAAACAGACTGGAAAATGAATGTAAATTTTAAAAAATTAATGTGTACTTGAGTGAGTGCTCACTGTGACTGCATTTTGAGTGTGCAAGCGCATAGATTTGAAAATTCATGTTTTCAAATCTTAAGCAGAAAAAAGCAGAAAAAATTCATTTATAGATAAAAGTCAACATGAAACCATTTTCCTCCTGTTATGTGACATTTCAAACAGTATGTAACAAGGAAAAAAAACATATTTCTGTAATAAGTTATGATGGAGAAAGATGGGTTGTCTGTAGTGTCATGCCTTAAAAGGATAGTTTATCCAAAAATGAAAATTAATTCACCACTACGTATGCCCTTCTTCAAAAGGAGAATTCTTAAAAAATGTCCTGCTCGTGCTCGTCCATATAATGGCAGTAAAAAGTGACCAGCATCAAGCTTTAAAAAAAGATGCAAAAGTATCACAGTGACAGAATGATCCCATGCGAAGTGTGCTTTATATTCCAAGTAACAAAATTTAATGCATTGTTTAATTAAAATCTTGGCTGTTGGTCCACTCTGCACGACTGGGAATTCAAGACTACTAGTCGCCCAGAAAAAGCGACATAAAATACAACTCCAATAAATCCCCCAAAAGAGATGAAGTGAACTGCTAATAGACGCTAATGAATGCCCAGTTGTGCACAGACAGAAGACAAAATCAATCACAGGAATTTAGTTAAATAATACATTAAAGGATATTTATTTATTTTTTATTACCAAACCTTGTCATATACAAGCATGTGATCATTCTGTGATACTTGTGAGTCTTTTTTTAAAGCTTTATGCTGGTTGCTAATCACTGCCATTATATGTAAGAGCAAAAGTGGGACTTTTTTTCTTTTTCTGACCCAAAAAGAAAGAAGGGCAAACGGCATTAGAACACCACCAGGGTGAACAAATAATGACTTCACTTTGAAATTAATTTTTGATATGTTTTAGCTTAGGACTACCTCAAGGGCATCCAAGATGTAGGTGTCTTTGTTTCCACAGTATTTTCAATTTTGACATTTTGACAAACCGTTGTTGAACTAATCTGACGGCACGGACGCTTCGGCCTGCGGATGTGCCAGAAGTGATTGCTTGCGTGTCTACGTCACTCATTTTTTACACAGAGATTTCGGAAGTTTTATCTTTCACTGTGAAGATATAAACATATTTAGATATACAGGAAATCACATTGGAAGACGATTTCGATATATCTAAATATGTTTAGTGAAAGGTAAAACTCCCGAAAATCTCTGTGTAAACAATGAGTGACGTAGCGATCACTGTGTAAACAATGAGTGACGAAGCGATCACTTCCGTGCCGTCAGATCAGTTGGACATGGCTGTGGTTACACGAGGTAAAAATGATATAAATACTGTTTGTTTTCTCACACAAACCGCTCGTTTCGTGTCTTAGACCATCATTGTGTACTTACATTTACCAGTCATTCAATCATGTTTAAACGGGGGGTTGATTGCGATTTCACTTTTTTGATTTTAAATAGTGCGTAATGTTGCTGTTGGTGCATGAACAGTATCTGCAAAGTTGCAGCGCTGAACGTTTAGTGTAAGCAGAGATATCGTCTTTTAAAAATCAGGAAGTATATTGCCTACAAAAACGACTCGATTGGGACTACAGCTGGGTTTTAGACATCACTAACCCACACATTTACATCAACCCTCGCTCCGGAATATGCAGAAAAGGGCATGCGCATATTTCTGCGGCTCGTCGAGTGTGTTGTGTTCACCCAGCTGTCAGGTCTTCTGTGTTCGAGCTTCCCACGGACGCTGTACTTCGTCAACAATGGATACAATTTATGTTTGATTATGTTCCTGAAAATGAAAAATCGTAATCTAGCTCTCTGTGCAGCGCATTTTACGGAAGACAGCTTCCAGAACATCCACGAGTTCAATGCCGGATTCAACAAGAAACTGTTACTAAAACATGTATCAGTTCCAACTTTAAAATCAGAGGCAGCAGTTGTTGGGCCACAACCTGTAAGTAGGGCAGGCTAAGACTTTATCATTTTAAATGTATTTGCATGAATAATTCCAGACGTAACCTTGTGTTTTATTTTCTTCAAATGCCAGCGCTGGCTTTATAGCCACTAGGCTACTAGTTATGCTATTTTGTGTCTATGACAAACGCGTACAAACATTATGGACCTGAATTTTGTACTAATGTTGTAAATGTATTTTTCATGTACATATGCTTTATGATGTTATTTTCGATTTGATCAAGAACGTAAACTAATGCCAACGCTGTTTGTGTTTAACATAACAGCCAGTCAGTTGCTATTGTTGCCAGTCAGATGCTATTGTGTAAAACAAACGTGTATAAAGTTAAAAAAATGTAGCAAATTATCATTCAGAAACGTTTAGTAAGAGCCGTGTGTGGTGAGTTTCTGCTTGACTCTTTTCATCGCGGCTTTCTTGGACTGATTCTGCCTCAAACTTATACTGCAGTTCGACATCATTATTTACATCTGGACCGGAGCTCATGACATGCACGTTTCACCCGTAAAGGTAATGGGCATTAACCTTCCGGACAACGAGAGCGACAGTTTAGCCAATCACAACACACCGGGCCAAACTAACCAAGCTGAGCCCACTGCCTGTTTCTGAGGGAGTGGTTTCATAGACTCAGGAAGTCAACCGGTCATTCGAGGACAGAGGCTAACAATAAAGGTGAAGTTTATGAAAAATAAGACTTTTAAAAAAAAGAAAAACCCCGAATACATGTTATATTCCACCCCATAAACACAATCATGCAAAGAAAAAAAGGAGTCAACCCCCCCTTTAATTTTGACTTTTCTGCGCATGCTCTTTGAAGTGAACCGAGGGAGGACCCCCTAAACCTGCATTATATGACTGATAGAAAACAACAGTTTGACCGAAAAATATCAAAATTGAAAATATATTCCCACTGAGCTTGATGACAGCGAAGACTGCATCACCCACCATTTCAGATTTGGTGTCCAGTTCTCTTCTGAGTTCCTTGTGTCCCAGCTGTTGTTCCTGGTTCTGGTGCCTCAGGTTTTGAATGGCTTTGTCCTGCCGCTCCAGCTCATCCAATGCTGCCGCCCGCTCTCTCTGAAGTTGTGCAGTCTCTTCAACTCTCAACTCCAACTCCTGCTCCAAACGCTCAACTTCCTCTATAAGAACAGCACAAAGGGGTTCATATTATAACAGCACATATGAAGATAAGATAAATGTAGAAGATGAGATGGTGTACCAATATGAAAGCGTTGATGAGCTTGCTCTCTATCCTGTGGACTGACTGGTTGTCCATCCAGTATTTCCAGTGACCTCAGATGAAAGATTAAGAAGAGGCGATAATGGGGCAGGCTGGAGATAGGGTTTTCTGCTAATGTCAGATTCGTCAGGTTCTTCAGAGGCTTTAGTTTAGACATCTCATGAAGCTAGATCACACAGGTTGAGAATGTTGTAACACAATTGTGCATTACAAAAACTGAGTATGAGTATTTCTCTTTAAACACAGTTAAGTATGACATTAAAGGTATAATGATAATTTAGTCATTATTTACCTTCCCTGATGTTGTTCCAAACCTGTTTGACTTTCTTTTTTCTGCTGAAGAATATACTTTGGAGAATGTAACCAAACAGTATTGATTCCATTTGGCCTTTTTTTTGCTCATTGTTTGGACAAAAAATACAGGTTTTGAACGACATGAGGGTGAGAAAAACAATGAAAAAGTTTCATTTTTGGGTAAACCATCCCATTAATGTTTTTTTCCCCCGTTGATTGGCTGTTTTAAACACATGATAAACAAATATAAGCAAAGGCTGAGATTGAAAAACCCAGATAAATTGTACCTACAGAGAATATCTTGTTGCTGTGTAGGTTTATGGTCTGAAGGGATCTGAGCTTCTTTGCCATCCAGACCGGAAGATGTTCAATGTTGTTGAAGGCCAAATTTAGAACCTGAAGGTTCGTCATGTGCTCTAGACCTTCAATTTTTCTGTACACAATTAAAACATAAATTATAAGTTATATTTTAAAACTTTTACTGGCTTTAATAACATTATACATTTTATTCTGATATAACACTATGAAAACAATAAAAACAAATGTTGTCACCACAGGCAATGTTTGTTGTCAAGTAGACAAATGTCACATTCTCTTACTCTATGCTGTTACTGGAAAGGTGGAGTTCCCTTAGGTGAAATAATTTTTCTAGTTTCTCAATTTTCTCAATCCTGTTGTTACTGAGGTTGAGAACCAGCAGGCGCTCACACTTGTCCAACTGTTCAATATACTAAAAAAAAAAAAAAAACATGAACACACAAAAGTCAATACAAATGAATGCAAAATGCAACAATAAACTTTACCAATCACAGTGAGTGAGCATTAACCAAATAATTTCCAAATCTCACCCTAAATTGTTTGTCATGTCCCGTAGATGAAGATAGATCCAGAGTCTGCACAAGGACTAAATTTTCACATTTAGTTATTCTCCTAATCAGGTCTTCTGTGATGTATCTTGTTCCCTTCCCCTTATATATACTTTTGTCTAAGGGCAGATATTTGTGTATTTGACATATGTTAGTTGTCAAAAATATATAATATAATTGTATTTATTGCCTAAAATGACTTTGCCTGCACTGTAGGACATGCAGTATTTACCAGATTTACCATCATCGTTAAGAACTTCTCTAGGACCTCCATCCATCTCCGACCGCAAGATGGCGTTGGGGGTCACAGATTTGCTCTGTAGGCTCTTGGAACATTTGGATCCTGTTGGTGTTGGTGATTGTTGGCGCATCTTGCTTGCGAGGCTTTTCATTTTATTATCGTGCGGGTATTAATTTTATCTGAGGAAGCCAGCGATTACGATGCTCATCCTAACGTTACCTAAATCAAGTCGACTGCTAAACCTAACGTAACTGCTGGTAGTTTCTTCTGCTTTATGTTAAAAACTTTCAATGGAGACCAAAATTAACTAAATGCAAGAACGTAAGTCTTGACTGACATAAAAATGTTAAAATATATTAAAAATAAATTTTATTTTTAACTGCATCAGTGCATGGCCACTCACTGTTTTGTGAAGACTCGTCCATTTTTGTTAGCCCAGTTTCCATAGCGACCTATTTGGATTCTTATCGAAGCGATCATTCAGTAACCGTCAGATTATTATAATTCTCTCTTAAATACTGTAAGAGCGGATACAAGCCTGTTACTTTTATCTCTTGTCCAAGGTGTCATATATAGTCCATGCGTTTCTAAAGGTTTAAACTGAGCTATCATTCTCTTGTCTGATTCTACAGCCATGAACTCAAACCAGAGCCCAAACAAATGATTCGCGGTGATGTTTAGATCATGTGACTCAGCTGCAATTATTTCATAATAAGAGTATTGTGCGCTCAAAGCAGACTCCAAATCCAAACAACCATAATGTTTTTCACAATGTTTAGCAAAATATTATAATAATTGTATGCACATACATAAATAACCAAGCAACGATAATTGAAAGTAGTTTGATTCAACAAATTGCTCATGTAATACAGATTTGTTTCATTTAGCATGTTTGTGGTTAATACAAAACAGACTAAGATTATAAAATAATAGGATTTTATTGTTGTTGTTTTTTTTAGAATTTTTCAACAATTAGTTTAATGTATTTGAACGCTTCTGTTTATTCTTATTCATATTCAGGGGATGTTATACAATAGGCTAATCCCATGCATAAGAATGGTCTTTTATTGACATTGCAATTTACCATTTATCACAGCCAAACAATTCGAAATCATATTCAAAATCATCCAACTCTTTGGCGTATTGTTTGCAGGCAGCATTCCTGCAGTCAGATTCAAGTGGCCACCAATCCACCCGAGCATGTGAGTCCAAAGGAAACTTATATCTGAAACATGGTAAAGGAAATCAGTTCTGAGGATACTAGCCCACATACTAGTTAAATAATGATTGCAAAACACGATCACTTTACAATGTGTTGCACTAGCTAATGCAAGGTATTACGTTTTAGGAATTCACAATGAATTTGCAAAAAAATTATATATGATTTATTTTTTTTTGGTTGAACAAGCAGATAGTCTTGCCCAAAATCTTGATCCTAAGGTACTGTATGATGTGGTTTAAAAAAAAAAAAAACATGAGCAAGAAAGCAAAAAAGAACTCACTTATAAGCATGACCCAATAGTATCTTCATACTCTCAGAAGTCGTGACCAGATACTGCTTGCCAACTTCGAAATTTGTTTCATTGCAAGTTGCCTTCTTCACAAAATCTACCTCTGAATCTTTTTTTAAGTCGTCCGTTTGTTCTGCAGAAGAGAAGTTATGGATTGAAGCTGTAATGCAACTTGTTTATTTTTAAAAAAAATTATTATTATTTTTATTTAAATCATTTACAACTTAAACTTTATAATATATATTAGTATATATTATATATTCAATATACTCTTGCCTTTTTTTAGCACTGCTTTGACTTTTGCTTTGTAGGTCACAAAATCTCCACTTGCCTCAGAGGATTCAATTAACACTTTTAATGCTAGAAAAAAAAGGATCAGGCAGTAAATGACATGTATCACTGTGCAAACATATACCACCGATCATGTGACAATGATTTTTATGTGACATGAGGATCATTATTTACCATATGTCATGCTTTCTTTGCATATATCATTTTTGTGCTGTTCGGCAGTGATTGTGGGATCAATGGTGGATTTAAAGTTGCAGCATTCCGCTAATTTTCACATGGAAATACAAAAAAATTGTTAAACTAACACAGACACATTAAACTCAATACACATGTAAGCCTATGCAAATGATAATGTCATATGCGATAGCAGTATACCCAGGAACATTCTCACAACTTTGGCTTGCATTCTGGCAAGGTTCTCTAAAAGTTATGAACAAATATTTTTCCCAACGTTCATTCAAAGTTATCTACTCTGTAAAATGTTCTCAAAACTTTGGCACAAAATCATTATTTATCTGAAACAAAAAATAATAATAATTTTGTTTTTTAAAAATGTTATACTTCAACTTTCAAAAGTATTGTTCACACAATGTTAGCAAAACATTTTCATCTTGAACGTTCAGAGAACATTTAGAAACAACTTAACTTTTGTTAATAACTTTTTTTTGTTAATAACAACTTTTGTTAATAACTGTTTTTCTTTTCTTTATTTCTGCTTTGTTTTGCCTTTAACCTTCAAATGGTCTTTGTTTCCTGTTTACACTTCTGGGCTTTGGGGTCTATACGACCCAAACAATTGATTAACCATACAAATAATATATTATTTTTTTTTTTTGTTTACTTCTCATCTATTCATAAATGCTGTGTTTTTGGATATATAAAGTACATTTTTATCCATATACCACACAATTCCTCAACACCATTAGCTTTCATATGAAATATTGTTTTTTTATGATACATTGCATTTATGCTCTAGTACTAGGCCTTCATTTCTGTGTAAAAAAATTCAGATTTATGCCAGATTTTTTTTTTTTTTAATATATTTAGTTTTTTTCACATTTCCCATTCATTTCAATGTGGGGTCATTTTGACTCAGAAGATCAGAAGTGTAAAAAATTTTCAGAACAACCGAAAATCTTCAGAACAACCGAATCAAGCCCAGTTTTTTGTGTGTGCATAGATAGATAATGTATGAAAAGTCACAAAATCTTATTCCACTGAGATGAAGGGAACCTTTTTTTTATTAAGTAAACATCGATTGGGGTCATAGACCTCATGACCCGATTGAGGGCTACGCAACTTACCTGCCATGCACTGACACTGGTCTCCCTCACAGAGTCGCAACAGTTTGCGGCTTTGTTTGTGGTAAAACTTCATACAAGTACTTCCTATTAAAAATGAGTAGAGAAAGCTTGTTTTATGTAGCTAAAATAAGTTTCAGCCAGACATAAATCAAACATTTGGGCAAATATTTGTGCTATACCTTGATCATTAAATTCATAAACTCTGAATACCGAGGATCTGCTCATGCCAGTTTCAAATTCCTCTTGAATACGGAAACCCACACAGTAGAAATCTTCTGATGGTATCTGCAGGATAAGTATTGTATGATTAAAAATATTCTTCAAGATGAAATACACACCATATTTTAATGCAAACTTTTGGAAAAAGTTTGTTTTGTCAAGCAATGCTCACCGAATCTATTTGAAGGATGACTTTGTCACCCAATATTTCATAGTTGGAAAGCTGAGACTCAAGTCCATTTTGATACTGCAAAATTTAGAAACATAAAATGTCAGTATAATTTTCTGAAACTCTAAATGTTTTCTATGGAAATGTATTTGCATTTAGTGTCTCACCATGTCTAAATCTTCCTGGATTGGGATCACACCAGTCGGCAAATTAATTTCCATCACAGTGAGTCCTGACTCAGTTTCAATCGCATTTTCATGTGGTTTGTATCTTTACACAAAATGGATTTTTTATGTTTTACATGCAAATCAGAAATTTACACAGAAATGTACTTAAATCCTGTATCTTCTAATCAGGGGTTTCTACAGACTTACTTTGCACAGGCCACAATCCGCTGAGACAAAAGCATAGGATCTGCTCACAAAGAAATCAAATTAGCTGCATCAAGTTAATTTTAAAAGATAACCGAGTGTATAAAAGTAGGAAAAAAAAAAATACAGAACGTACCATCTGAATATGGGACACGGTCATGAATGTCAATTGATATATTAAATTGGCAATTTTCATTGCTCTCTGTCATCCCATAGTAAACTGTTCTCAACTGTCAAAAATAATGTTAATCAATAAATAAAGTTGGTTTCACGTTTCAGGCATATAATTTATATGAATTTATATATACATACATATATATATATATATATATATATATATATATATATATATATATATATATATATATAATGTTTATATATAAGTCTAGATTATTGTAGTGTTTATCAAATACACTGAAAATGACCATCCAGAATGATTGTTTAAAAAAGGATGATTTTGTTTTGTTTGTGTTTCTTGATTTGGTCGGTACTGGACATTTATTCAAATTCAACTATACTATTTTGCAAAATCAAATAAATCAATACTTTAAAATAAGACATAGATACTTTTAAATAAGACATTTGAGCATAATTACACTATATAACTAGATTATAAGTATAATTTTTTTTTTACACTTTATAAGTATATATAAAAAATGATTAATTTTAAGTGATCACTAGAAGATAGCAGAGGTAGTTTAAATGTAAAAGTAGATAAAAATGAGTGTGGACAAATAGATATCCAATTTTGATACATACAGTATTAGTAATATCAACCAATAACTGATAGTGATATTCCTTTATTAAATATAAGCTCACTTACTTTGGCAAATGAGACACCAGAGCTCATTGCTGTTTTGATTATTATATCATCATTTTGAATCACCTTTTCAAAGAAAACAGAAGAGTGGCATTTACATATAATTTAAAATGAAAACTGTACCCATTCATAATAATTAAGTTAACATCATAAAAAAAATAAAAATAAAAACGTCTTACCGCTATTGGTTTAGCCACAGGTTTTTGCTGGGTTAGTTTGATTCTGCTGATGTCACCTTTAGTCTTGTATTCAATGTCAACCACCATGTCTAAGGTGGCTTGACTGGTTAAGAGGCTATACTTGGTAAGGGCCTCCAAAATGAGAATGCTGTCCTGAAAATTTTAGGAAAATAAGATAACATATGATAAAGACAACATTGAAAGATTAAGATACTGTATTGCACTAGTACCTGTGTTGAAAGAATACCCCCTCCATATCTCTGGTCTTGTGTTAACCAGTTCAGAATTGGCTTTGCATAGGTGGAATCACCTCTGACTAAAGAGTTAAGCAGGACATAAATTGTTGTTTCCACGGACTTTGATTTTGCATCACTGGGTTTTAATGAATCCTTGTTATATTTAGAGTCTTCCCAGAAACGAATTGTGGCTGGGTTCCCTGAAAATGTTAGATGTACAGACAAATTGTTTGTATTAAGTTATTGGTCAAATACGAGAGGGTTTAATCTGTGCTGATTTGTTTTTTGATCAAAAGTGTGTGGAATGTCCCAAATAAGATTTTACCTTTAACTTGAGCCTGCTGTTTGATTTTTTCATAAAGGTCAACTGCCGGCAAACTATGGATGTCTACCAGTGTCAGAGCATAGCATGCAATGGCTCTAACATATAAACTTTCAATCTTCTTTGACTTCGAGGAGAGGAAATCTGTGGCATTATCTAAAGCATTTTTAAAAACCTAGAGAGACAATTGTGCTGTTAGTCACTGACTGAATGAGGAACTATCCTACATTTAGGTTTCTAATTGGTCAGACTTTACTGACAGTCATACCTGTAAGTTAACATTTGGGACCTTCAGAGCATTTTTAATTCCAATCACGACAAAAGAAGTGAGGAAGACTGTCTTTTCAGTGACATCTGCTCCGGCACCCTTTAAAAACAAGACAAGCTTGATCAAAACACTG